TTTTTTTAATCTTAAATGTACTTAAGTATTGAAAGTAAAAGTACAAGTAAATGCGAAATGGATAAGAAGCAAATACATATATATAAAACATTTTCATACACAGCTTGAGTAGCAAGATCGTGTTCAGTTTTAACTCTTTTAAGTTAACTATATTAAATTATATAAATTTAAAAAGCATACAGAAGCATTTTTGCCATCTACAATTTAGAATACCTGGAATTTTGAGTTTTAATATACTAATATATCAACGTGCGTGCGCTCTGTGTGTGATTTGGTGATATAGCCTACTTGATAATGTCAGATCGCACATCATTAAAATAACACTTACCATATTATCGAAGATATACTGTATATCGTACACCCCAGACTCGACTTGAGTGGAAAATTAAATCATCCGCGGTTGTGCGCGCACTTGTTTGCACATGAGCAAAGGTGTTTTTGTAATAATTTAATAAATTTTAATTTAATAATAATAATCATCATTTATGCATTTAGCAGACGCTTTTATCCAAAGCGACTTACAGTGCATTCAGGCTATACATTTTTTACCAGTATGTGTTTTCCCTGGGAATCGAACCCACGACCTTTTGCGCTGCTAACACTCTACCACTGAGCCACAGGAACATCTATGAGTCTAACTTGCAAACGCCAGCCCACTGATTCGTCAAACCTGCTTTCCTGCTGTGTGTTTCACAACACTTTCAGTGTGGCATACACGATAAGCACGTCTTTAAACATAAATTAACGGTAGCATTGTAAATATACAGTATAAAGAAATTAACTTACTCTTTGATGCATGCACACATGCGATTACTCATCAAAGCATCGGGGATGTAATGACATTGTTGTCACCGTTAGGTCCATCGATCTCGTGCTTATAATAATAACAGCGCTTACACCTTTTCTAAACTGCGCCAGACTTACTGCGAGACTAATAAACACACAATGAATAAAACTATTACACAAATAACTGCATGAACATTCAAAACTGGCCCTCAATTTAGTACAGCAGCCCCCAAATGTGCTTGCAGATTTGCATCTTGGGCCAGTACTCACAGTAATTCAGGGAGTGAAGGTAGCTTAATCAGTCTGACAGCGGGCCTGATGTAGGTTCTGTCTTTGACCTGAACCTCCGCAGCTCTGACTTTACCATCAGCTCCAGGTATGACAGCTTTCACCTTTCCAATGGGCCAGAGTGCTTGGGGAATTGTGGATCAGCGATCATGACTACCGTCCCAACTGTCAGGTTATCTTTCTCTTGTTGCCACTTCTGGCGAGACTGGAGTCCAGGCAGGTAGTTACGCAGATAACAGTTCCAGAACTGGTCTGGTTTGGCTGTGTCTCCAGCGTTTGCGGATGAGCAGTTCAGATTCAGGCTAAATTACCTGAGGTAAAGCAGAATCCAGTCGTCCCATCAAGAGTGAATTAGGCGTTATTGGGTCTGGATCAGCAACATCAGAGTATACATATCCCAATGGCTTTGAATTTAGAATTCCCTCTATTTCAATCAGGACAGTCCTGAGCACTTCTTCTGTGACAGTTTGTGCACCAATGGTTGTGTACAGTGCAGCTTTAACAGATCTAATCTCTCTCTCCCAGGATCCACCGAAGTGTGGGGAGTTTGGTGGATTGTACTGAAAGTCGATCTGTTGCTTGGCAAGCTCTGTTTGCAACTGTGTGTGAATATTGTTGAAGGCTTCCTTCAGCTCACGGTCTCTGCCTTTGACATTGGTGCCCTAATTGCTGAGCAAATCGTGAGGTTTTCCCCTACGGGCGATGAATCTGCGTAGAGACATGAGGAAGGAGTCTGTGTCTGCTCGAGATAGAAGGTCGATGTATACTGCCTTTGTGGTTAAGCACTTATAGATGATGCCCCAGCGTTTCTCATTTCAACGCCCAATTTTGATGGTAACTGGGCCGAAACAGTTCATGCCTGTGGAGTAGAAGTCTGGCTGGAAGAGTCTTAGGCTGGAAGGGGGTAAGTCTGCCATTTTAGAGATGTTGGGCTTGCCACATTATTTCTGACGCTCAGTGCAGTGATACTGAATTGATCGAACAGCTTGACAACCTCTCAAGATCCAGAAGTGCCTTCTGATATCGGCAAAGACCCCGCTCAGTACCAGGGTGATGTAGCTGTGTGTCATACTGCTTGATTAGAAGTTTAGTCACTGGATGGACTGGGTCTAGAACAATAGGGTGCAGAATATCAGGGCTCAGCAGATGGCATCGTCTGAGTCTTCCACCTACTCTAATCAGTTGACTGTCGGGATCAAATTCAGGAGCTAATGTCTTTAGACGGCTGTTTGGGGAGATGGGTTTCCCTGCTTGAAGCTGGTCGTACTTGGCAGGGAAGCTTTCCTTTTGGGACTGTTGGATGACTCTGATTTCAGCTTTCTTATGTGTCAGACGTGACAGTGTCTGTGGGACTGGCTGCCCCATGAAGGGATTGGGCTGTTACATCAAGAAGCTCTTGAAAGTTGTCATATTGAGATGTAGCACCTGGATGCTTCTCATCCTGAGTTATTAGAAGATGAAAGGATGTTGGTTTACGCAGTTCCTCTGAGGTAGCAGTTGGGTAATTTTGGCCAGTGCGATGGGGGTTTCTGCAAGAATGCTGGGCCATCCTTCCAACGGCAAGGTTTTGCATGCTGAGACAAGGACATGCCACGAGTAATATCATCAGCGGGGTTGTCTTGAGAGTGCACATACGACCATGACTGTGAGTCAGTAAGCTCTTGAATCTCTGCGATTCTAGTTCCCATGAACACTTTGAAGTGGCACGAGTCTGACTGCAGCCAGTTTAAAACTGTGGTAGAATCAGTCCAGTATTTGAAACTGCTGATGTCTAGTGTGAGCTCTCTTTGCAGAACTACTGTCAGTTGTGCTCCAGTTAGAGCTGCGCAAAGCTCAAAAGGATGCGATAAATGTGTCGCATAGTTGGCTCAGCTTTTATGACATGGCCATGTTTGTATTCAAGTGTGTCGGATCTGCACTGCCACCTAAGTCCTAGTGTGCGTTCCTGAGGGTCTGCCCTGTCTGAACTGAACCAAAGCTCATAGTTCTCTGACCTGATTTGCTGCGGCAGATGTTTCAGGATTTGGGGAGTGTTGCTAGCCCATTGGCGCAGTTCAAATCCACCCTGTCATCCACTAGATGCTTGGCAGTATCAAGAGAGGGAATACTTTGCAGCCAATTATCTACATAAAAGCAACACACTTGATGCACGTACCTCACTGTCTGGTTGGCTGTGATCGGCAAAATGTTTCCGGAGAGCAAAAGTTGCACAGCACGGGCTGCAAGTGATACCGAAGGGTAACACTGACCACTGGTAGACATCAGGTGGGCTGGTTGTGTTCAGGCCTCGCCACAGGAATCGCAAGAATGCTTGGTCTTCTGTCAGGAGACGAACCTGATGAAACATCCCCTTTATGTCGCTGCTAATGGCTACTGCATGCTCTCAGAAACGGAGAAGTACCCCCAATAAGTTTGCACCCAAAGTCGGTCCTGGAAGAATGTATTCATTCAGACTCAGTCCTTGAAAGTTGAAGGAACAGTTGAATACAATCCTGTTCTTGCCGTTGTGGTGGACTATGTGGTGCGGAATGTACCACCCTTGAGTCTGTACGGCTGTGGATTGAGGGATTTTCTTTACATAGCCTGCCTCTAGCAACTTGCTTATCTCAGACTTGTACACTTGAGATTTCTCAGGGCTCTGGGACAGCTGATTTTCAGTCCGCCACAAATGAGGCAGTACTGCTTCCTTTGGAGCAGCTAGAGGTGGAGGGCTAGTTTTCCAGAGGAGAGGGGTAGCATATCTTTGCACACCTTTCACCTCTACCCTGATCGTTTTCTCCTCCAACATGTGCATAGCTAGTTCTGAATTGAGTATCGTCCTTTAACCGGGCAAACTCACGTGGATCCTCTCTAGTGAAATCAGGAATAGTAGGGGTTGGACCACGGTAGATGCTCTCTTGATTAGGTGGCAGTGAGGAACAATAAGGCACATGTGGTTGCTGTCGCCTTGAGGGAGGGCTGTAATAGTGCGTGGATGGCTGCCTTGGGTGCTGGTAGCGGTCGTCAGCATGCTCGGCCCTCTGGGATGTTGCTGCACGCTCTGGTGGTGGCGAGGCTGATCTGGATGTCTTGGAACTCGCTTTCATCCTCTGAAGCTCATGGATGATCTCATCTATTCTGTCACGTTGACGTTCTGCGCATAACTTATTCTCACTACATTTCACTGACTTATCCCCTTCATAGCGTGGATCTCTTTGATCTCTTAAAGACGTTACTCTGTGATATAATGTTGAGGTAGAGGCTTGTTCCTCCATATTACGTATCGAATGTCTGGGCGAATGAACTGGCTGAGATGGAGACCGTGGTCTTGGAGAGTGAGCGGCAAAGTGTTCTCTGAGGTCACGTCTAAGCTGACGGTTCTCCTCTTCCAGATCCTTCAGGCGCATCTGCAGTACTTCAGGAGAGAAGTATGGATTCCCTTCATAGGCAGGAAAGTGATCAATGCCAGCAACCAGGATGTTGCAGTGCGGTAGTGGACCTCCTGTAGCCCCAACTAACTGTTCTCCCTCGTTGGAGTGGCCTTGCGGTACATTGACGGGGCGTCGGCATTGACGCTTGATGGAGGGCGTTTCTGAAGCTTGGTGCTGACGCGACCATCATAGTGACAACAGCCAATCACATTAGTTTTCTGGTGTTGCATGATCGCGATTGGCTAGCGTCCGAACCAGGGTATTTGCATAAGGTGATCTGATTGACTGACGCCTGCGTTGGTGCTTGAAAAGTTGAAAAGTTTTCAACTTCTGCCACGAGCAACGGACCCAACGCGACGCAACGGACCCACAATTCAGTTCGGCAACACTTGACGTCACTCCATTCAAAGTAAACAAGAGGCGTTGACGCCGACGCCCCGTGTGAATGGGGCGTTAGGGTGTGTGCACTAATCGCTGCTCTGGCACATACAGATGTGGCCTTTAAGAAATTTAAATAAATGTGTTGTGCTTCACAGAATATCCACCAGATGGCGCATGGAACAACATACTATATCTACAGGCCAGACCGAAATCGCTTATAAACACTTTGCAATTATTCGTCTTTGACCCATTGTTAAATATGCTTATAGATTATTACAGAACGTTACATTTTAAAAATAGAATTAACATAACTATCATTGTCTGATAAATTATTAACTGCATATATTGTTGTGATTGTGAGAAAACATCCACAATAAAATAAAAATGAAATAGTATTAGACACAAATATTTGATATGGTAATACGGACATTGAAAAATCTATGTACACATGAGTGCATTAGCGTAAAGCGGATCATTATTTGATGCTTTGTAAACAATTTATTGCTCTAGCGCTGCATTTGGAAGATCATGTTTACAGTAGGCTACACAACTATTAATTCATTGTGAATATTTAACTTTATTCAGTTGTAAAGTTATTTGAAAAATGAATGTGTCTACCAGCTCATTATTTATTATTTGTTTTGTTGTTGTTGTTGTTCCAATTTTAAGATGCCTGCTCGTGCGTGCAAAAAGAAACCGTAAAATGCAACAGAGAATTAAGTGTATAATAAGTTAGCCTAAAAATATACCAGTATCCAATGCTGAAACAAACATCAATCATGTATTTTACAATATTTTACAACAGACCTTTCATGATGAATTTTGGTAAATGCGCTTTAAATTTATATTCATAATAATGAGATGGTTACTACACCTTTATTGATAAATTTTTTGTAAGGGGTGACCAGATTATTATTATTATTTTTTTATTGACCAGTCTTTAACTACCATTTGTAACAAATTTCAGTATGTATAACTGCCTATAATGATTGTACAGTGGCGGCGTTTTACAAAATAAAAAATCCAATGGCACACCACTAAGCACTGTAAAATAGGAAAAAGCATAGAAATATAATTAAACTCCTATATAACGAATACATTTATAATACAACTAATTGTATATAATTCAACTCCTATATCTCTCTCTCGCTCTTCTTCATCCCATTCATTTTGTCTATCTATTCCACAGGTATTCATACAGTAGAAGGTATCGCTGTGGACTGGATGGGGCAAAACCTGTATTGGACTGATGATGGACCCAAAAAGACCATCAGTGTGGCCAAACTGGAGAAAGCCTCTCAGACCCGCAAAACGCTTATTGAGGGAAAGATGACCCATCCTAGAGCCATAGTAGTAGACCCTTCTCATGGGTAAATCAATTATTTTTGCTTGATTGCAAAATTTTAAGAAACTGTCAAAAACATACACTGGCAAACTATCGACTATAATGTTAGGAAACGTTAGTGATTTTATATATTTTAAGTCACAATAGACTTATAATTAAGAATAGATTTTAGTGACCATGTATATACAGATAAACCAGGTAGAGCTGCACTAGTTGTTTACTTGAATCTACAGTTTTAAATGAATGCATAAATCTTAGGGCTGTGCAATTAATCGCATGCGATTGTCATGCGCATCTTGTCAGTAAAGCCGGTTCCGTGATTAGTAGTAAATCTCCATCACCTGCTTTCAGATGGAGCGGCATTTACTCCACAGACATTAGGCAATATCACGTTCGTTATCGCAGATTGAATCACCTGCGATAATGAACGCGATATTGCCTAATTGTCAGTGAACTACGGCTCTGTGTAGTAAATGCCGCTCCATCTGAAAGCAGGTGATGGAGATTTACTACTAATCACGTAACCGGCTTTACTGACGAGATGCGCATGACAATCGCATGTGATTAATTGCACAGCCCTAATAAATCTGTGCTGTTTGCAGAATGATGTACTGGAGTGACTGGGAGGAGGAGCCTAAAGAGACCAATCGGGGCAGTATAAAGAAGGCCTGGATGGACGGTTCAAATGCTGGTATCCTGCTTACTTCTAAAACTGTGCTCTGGCCCAATGGCCTCAGCCTGGACATCCAGCAGGGCATCTTGTACTGGGTGGATGCGTACTACGACCGCATCGAGATGGTGTTTCTCAACACCACAGAACGCAGGGTGAGGAAACTCAAGTGTTTAAGGCAAACAGGGAAGCTCAAGTTTGTATCTTAGCTAGAGATACTTAATATGTCTTTATACTATGATGACCAAATTTCGCAAATGAAAATCAGGGACATTTCCTAGTTTACTGGTCAAAATATCATTAAAATCTCACTTATTATCTATGAATTAAAAATGTTGTTTATTCAATATACAATTATTATAGAGAACATATAACGAAACTGTTTTAATTTCACATATATTTATTTTCTAATTGTAATTAATGTTTTTATTTTCACCAACTGTGCATGTACTGAATACAGTAATTTTAACTTTTTCTTTATACGTTTTGAAATGTTATTTTATGTTTGCTCTATTAATTAGGCTTATTATTTTGCATTTTAGACTAATTTTAATGGTAGTTAAAACTGCCATTTTCTCTCTGTGGCATTTGCAAAGTGCCAATTTTCACATTGTTTTAAATCATGCTTTTTAGTTTAGATGAACATGTAAAATGTTTTTACTGTGTTGTGCCACATTTTAGATTAAGTAAAAATGTGAATTCTCGAGTTGAAATACCTCACTTCAGAGAGTGGCTGACAGTTAGCTAACTAACTAACTAAACATGAAAATGTGGCCATTTGTTGATTATGCATGCATTATTAGTTTTCTTTCATTAGTTTTTGTTTAGCTTATCTACATATATCATTTTAAAATAATTCTACTATAACATGAAAATATTGGTGCTTTCAAGTCATGTTGGAAAGATTGTTGAGCACACATGAATGCCAAATTGCGAGTGGGAAAACAGATTTTTTTTTAGCCCGTGGTTTTTGAGTTGGAAGTGTGTCAGTGGAAAAAAATACATACATACACACACACACATATATATATATAAAATAGAAATTAGTAATTATAAAATCATTAAAATTAATATTTTTTATTTAAAAGGTAGATTACTATCTAGCTCTGACAAAAGTGATTGGATGCACCTGACATCATAATTATGACATTCCAACTTGAATTTGTATTAAAAAACACTTTTCTGTTCATCCAGACGGTATTTGAAGGACAGGAGCTGAACCATCCCTTTGGCCTGTGTCACTATAAGAACTTCCTGTTCTGGAATGAGTACCGCAGTGGAGGAATCTACAAACTGGACCAGAACACCAAGAAGGCCACGTTGCTGCGCAGTGAACGACCACCAATCTATGAGATTCGCACCTATGACGCACAACAACAGCAAAGTACCGAACACCCTGAGCATTTCTTTTTGGAAATTAGTCATTAATGAGTCATATGTAAAGCATGAGCTGACAGATCAAACAAAGACTTAATTGTGTTGTTTTGTATGTTAACATGTCTCAACAGCCACATTATTTATACAGTGTTAGCGGTAACAAACTAATGAGATCAGAGTTTCAGTGGTTTTATTGTGTGTTTTATTGGGATCTGCTAAGGATGTTTTTGTTGTGTGCAGTCACAGGCTCCAACGTGTGCCGTGCCAATAATGGTGGCTGCAGCAGTCTGTGTCTGCTGACGCCCACTGGACGCTCCTGCGCCTGTGCCGACGACCAGATACTAGATACTGACAACAAGACCTGTAAAGGTGGGTATTCTGTGCTTTAAATAGCCTGAAGTGTAAATGTTATTGTCAATAACCTCAGAGGATTGTAAAATGGCCCGTTTTGGATTTTGAGTTTGAAAATATATATTTTTTCTCACCAGCAAACCCTTCCTACGTGCCTCCTCCTCAGTGCCAGCCTGGAGAATTTGCCTGTAAGAATAATCGCTGTATTCAAGACCGCTGGAAGTGTGACGGGGACAATGACTGTCTGGACAACAGCGATGAGGCCCCTGAGTTATGCCGTTAGTGCCCTTTTGTCTCATATTTTCAGATATGCAAATAACAACACCAACATTCAATATTTTTTTTTTTTTTTTAATGATTTAGCAAATGTGATTACTACATCCATACCACTAGGTGTCAGTATAAATCACACTGTTATATCAGCCATCAAAAGAAGCAAAACATCACTGAGTGCACATTTAAATGGTCCTATTTGCCCTGTTTCAGACCAGCACACCTGTCCCGCGGACCGCTTTAAGTGCCAGAATAACCGTTGTATCCCACTGCGCTGGCTTTGTGATGGAGACAATGACTGTGGGAATGATGAAGACGAATCTAACAGCACCTGCTTGGGTATTGTGAACTTCTTAATTGCATGTTAATAAGATTTTTAAGCATTTTTTCCCAATGAATGTCCAAATACTTTTATGCGCTTTGTGAATTGACCAGGTTTTCTTTTCGCTCCCAGCACGCACGTGTCCTTCTAATCAGTACCCATGTGCCAGTGGCCGTTGTATTCCTGTCTCCTGGACTTGTGACCTGGATGATGATTGTGGCGATCGCTCAGATGAACCACCATCTTGTGGTATCTAAATTTAAGCCTCTTTTCCTTTTGTCATCATGCCGTGCTGTGAACCCTTTTCTTTATCTCCTTCTCTCTCTTGTCTCTCTCTCTAGCATATCCCACCTGTTTCCCACTCACTCAGTTCACTTGTGCCAATGGACGCTGCATCAATGTCAACTGGCGTTGTGATAATGGTGAGTTTCTAATTCCATATACACATAAGTGTATGTGTGATACGATGACTTATAATGTCCAGTAACTGTCATCATGTGTGTGTGTGTGTGTGTGTGTCTTCAGATAATGACTGTGGGGATAACAGTGATGAAGCCGGCTGCAGTCACTCGTGCTCCAGTGTGCAGTTTAAATGCAATAGCGGCCGCTGTATTCCAGAGTACTGGACCTGTGATGGAGACAACGACTGTGGAGATTACAGCGATGAGACTCATGCCAACTGTACGAGTTGTGCCGTTAGTGTCCTTTTGTCTCATATTTTCAGATATGCAAATAACAACACCAACATTCAAAAGTCTCTTTATGTTCACCCAGGCTGCATTTATTTGATCAAAGATACAGTAAAAAAAACTGTATTAATGTGAAATATTATTACAATTTTAAATAACCTTTTTCTATTTTATTATATTTTGAAATGTAATTTTTTTTCTGTGATGCAAAGTCAATTTTCAGCAACTGTTACTTCAGTCTTCAGTGTCACATGATCCTTCAGAAATAATTCTAATATGCTGATTTGGTGCTCAAAAACAGTTCTTTCTATTATCAATGTTGAAAACCGTTGTGATGCTTAATATTTTTTTGGGGAACTGTAATATATTTTTTGACAAGTTCAAAATAATTGCAATTATTCAAAATTGAAATCTAATGTAATATAAATGTCTTTAGTCTCATTTCTGGTCAGTTTAATTTGTTCTTGCTAAATTAGTGCTAAATAGTATTAATGCCTTTCAAAATAAAAAGACCCCACACTTTTGAACTATATATATATATATATATATATATATTATTATGCCAACTGTACCAATCAGGGTGAGTTTGAAAAGTATCATTATTTGATAAAAGAAAAGAGGTCTTACTCCAAACATATAGTTTAATTCAGTTTTTGGGAAAAATGACTTCAGTCAGTTATTTGTTTTATTTTGTTATTTATTTTTATTTGAAAGTATTTTAAATTATATAAGTTGTGTAAATTAATAGTAACAAAATTAACAAATATGAAAACAAATAAAAACGGATTTGTTTACTAAAAATAAATATAATGTTTATTGTTAGAAAATAACAGTTTTGTTTGTTTTATTTATTTATTTACATTTTTATAATTTACTTTACTTTTATAAATGTACTTTTTAACATTTGAATTGTTAGAAAAGAACAAAATTGTTGTATTAAAATAGTTTGATGTCCCAAATTGTGATAACTGGTGAACCCCATAGAAAACAACTTTATATATTTAGTTTGACATCCTGAGGTTGATGATTAATTTTTTATCATGATGAAGCACCTTCATTCACTCATCATTTGTTTAAAAGACAAAATGATATTTTTAATAGTGTCGTCATCTTTTTTACCCTATTTGTATTTTATAAACTGTCAGTTTATTCTCTGAAGCTATTTTAGTTGTGTGGGCCTTCTGAAGTGTCTCTAGATTTTGAGCAAAACCACAATGACTAATGCAACTGAGCTCTTCGTTAACGGGAGTAAATCACGATTTCACAAACTGGGCTGTCAACTTTTTCTTTTTTTGTGGTCTGTGGTGGAACACGTAAACCACAAAATCTTGAAGAATGTCTGCGAGGAGTGCAGGGAGTGAGAGTCCCTGTGGAGAGCAGTGTTAATGACTGCTCTGAGAGCTGCTGTCTAGAGGGATTAAACAAGCACAGATGTGCCAGGACGCTTGACGCATGAGCCACTGGTGTTATCCACATGTGCAGTTTTGTTCTTATCTCTTTCCCTCTCCACAAGTCCCATTCATGTGGCTTCGTAGCTATTAATTGGTCAATGGTTGGCCGGGCCCTGCGTGGAACAGGAATAGAGGTTTAGGTTCTGTTTTCGGGGTCTGGGCTCTGTCCTTCTCTTCTCTAATCCCTACGGCATGCTGGTGCTTAATAGACTCTCAGAATCAATGCAGCAGAACCAAGCCAGAGGCCTAATGAGAGTGCTGGGCCTCATGGGAGCCTGGCAGTGTGTTTGTGCCTGTGTAAAGATGTAGAACTGAATGAGGTCATCCTAGCATGAGTTGTGAAGGAGAGATGTTTCATAAAGTCATTGAGTATGAGTTTGAAGTAGGAATGTTAAAAGTAATGGTACTTTGGTACCAAGTCAATTTAAAAGTAAAGAATATAACGATACCAGTTCTTCTGCAAAATTGAAAAGCTGTTAGCTTTAATAAATGTTAATATTTATATTAACATTTAAAAAAAATAGAGGACTGTTGAGTACCATATTAATTTGCTTTTAGAATTTATTAATTTTCTGCATTGATTACATAATTGCACTGTTTAACTGTTTGAGTATATTCAAAGGCAACATGCCAATTGATCTAAATTTGTCAGTATTTATAGTAACATTTAAAAAATGTGTGTTGAGCAGTATATTAATTTTGCTACAGTATTTACAAAAATATTATTTATTCATTTTCTGCCTCTACTATGTTAATTGTTTATTATTAGCACTATGTAACTGTTTAAGTATATTTTATATAGTGTATTTGTGAATGTATTTAATATATATATATATATATATATATATTTTGGAAAATTGAAGGAAAATTAAAGGGGAAAGAAATCTAATGTCAGAAATGTAATGTAATGTATTTAAAAAATATTTGAAGGCTTCATTGATTTTTATTTTTATTTTAATTTGTCCATTTTTTTAAATAGAGGAGTGTGTTAAGTAGCATATTACTTTTTGCTAAAATATGGACAATTGGCAGAGAATTGTAATATTCCAGTCAGATTTTAGTATCGATATCAACTACTGTGTGTGTGTGTGTGTGAGAGAGAGAGAGACACTGAATGCATGCAGCTCGAGCAGTATGATGTCATTCGGGTCAGTTCACCCCAGCAGATCCCTGTTCTAGGACACACTTCTCTCTGTTTACGGATGAGCTCTGGTTTTCCGTTTTCCCCACTCCAGACTCTGCCAGACACTAACCCATGAGGGAAAGCCTTTATGTCTGATGCCTAATGATGGCCGTCACAGTGCCAGCCCTGGACCGCTGTTCATGAGAAAGTTTGCTTTGGATCAGTTCATTGTGGTTGTGCCTCACACTGGTCACAATCTCCATCCCTGGGAACTGATTTTTGACGTCAGGAAGCCAAGCTCTCATTACCATCAAATAATAAGATATGTGTCCATGCCTTTGTATGAGTGTTCACATGGCTGCATTGTAATTGCGTGTCCCATTTTTGCCTTTGTCTGCAGCCACGCGGCCTCCCGGCGGTTGCCACACGGATGAGTTCCAGTGCCGAATGGACGGTTTGTGTATTCCTATGCGATGGCGCTGTGATGGAGACACGGACTGCATGGACCTCAGCGACGAGAAGAACTGCGAGGGCGTCACGCATATGTGCGACCCTGCCGTCAAGTTTGCCTGCAAGGACTCGGGTTAGTTCACGTTTGGCCATCTTAAATGTTCTCACTCATGTTTCGGCAACAATCATAAATAAATGTCAACATAAATCAACTCTTAAAGGCCCAAAATCAAAAGTTTGTCCATGTGTATATTAGCTTTAACAGCATCTTTATGCAAGTGTAATCCTAAAATTTAATTTCCTTAAAATCCTAAAGCATTTAATATGTATAGTCTGCTTGAACACAGATCAAAAATATTGATGACAAATCTTGCATATACCCATTTTTGTCCAAATAAAATGAGATTGTCTTTCCTCTTCTGGTATAAACACCTTTTTTGTTCAACTAAAAATTATAAATTGAAGCATTTTTGCAAGTGAATTGTGGGTCTAATTTTTTGTTTCTTTGTGTATATTTTAGCTCGCTGTATCAGCAAGGCCTGGGTGTGTGACAGGGACAGCGATTGCGAGGATAACTCGGATGAAGAAAACTGCGAGACTCTTGAGTGCAAGCTCTCCCACCATGTTTGTGCCAGCAACGACTCCATCTGCCTACCTCCTGAGAAACTGTGCGACGGCAATGACGACTGCCCCGATGGCTCGGATGAGAAGCTTTGCAGTAATGCACACGCACTTAAACACAAATACACTCAAGTTAAAGGGATCATTAATATTGTCATGCTTTACTCAACCTCATGTCATTTTAGACATGTTTATTTTTTTCTGTGCATCACCCAAAAAGAATATTTAAAGAATCACATAGGCTGAACTATTCCTTTAAATCTTTCACAGTTTGCGCAGAGCATGCCAACTCAACTTGTGTTTCCCATTAGCATGACACACATATTTCAGGCTTGAATTCAAATGAAATAAGCACATTCTCTCAAACTCTTGTTTATTTTTTTTGACAGACTTGCAGCAACTCATAAACACCCTTTCAATCCCACTTGCTTCTTTTTTACCTGTTTTCGTTCTAGATCTTTGCACGATGGATAATGGAGGCTGCAGCCACAACTGTACCATTGCTCCTGGTGAGGGCATCCTGTGCTCCTGCCCAGTTGGCATGGAGCTCGGTACCGACAACAAGACCTGCCAGATTCAGAGCTTCTGCGCCAAGCATCTCAAGTGCAGCCAGCGCTGCATGCAGGAGAAGGCCACTGTTAAGTGTGCCTGCTATGAAGGCTGGGCGCTCGGGCCAGACGGCGAGAGCTGCAAGAGCACTGGTGAGGGAAAGACGGGGTGGACCTCTTGATGAGATGTATAGTACACTGCATATAAAATATATATTTTTTTATATATCTAGGTAACAAAATGTCACAATATTGTTGTTTTTGCTGGAATTTTATATTATATTATATTATATTATATTATATTAAAGTCTAGTGACTTTCTGGACTTTATGGAGTAAAACCAAAATCAAGGGTTAGAGTTTTCTGTCTCAGTATGCTGTATGCTGGACTTATGTGCCTTGTCCATGTTCTTTAGATCCTTTCAAACCCTTCATCATTTTCTCCAACCGGCATGAGATCCGTCGGATTGACTTGTACAAGGGCGAGTTCAGCGTGCTGGTGCCTGGCCTGCGTAACACCATTGCCCTGGATTTCCACCTCAACCAGAGTGCCCTCTACTGGACCGATGTGGTTGAAGACAAGATCTATCGGGGAAAGCTGTCGGAAAACGGAGGTAAATTAATGTCTTAGTCCTATGGGAGTGGTTGTTCCTAAGTCAAATAATTAGTTCTTAATAATTTATTATTTAGTCCTGGTTAAATACATCTTACATTTGCATGTTGTTGATTTTGTATACACTACCAGTCAAATGTATTATATTATATTATATTATATTATATTATATTGTATTATATTAAAGTCTAGTGACTTTCTGGACTTTCTGGAGTAAAACCAAAATCAAGGGTTAGAGTTTTCTGTCTCAGTATGCTGTATGCTGGACTTATGTGCCTTGTCCATGTTCTTTAGATCCTTTCAAACCCTTCATCATTTTCTCCAACCGGCATGAGATCCGTCGGATTGACTTGTACAAGGGCGAGTTCAGCGTGCTGGTGCCTGGCCTGCGTAACACCATTGCCCTGGATTTCCACCTCAACCAGAGTGCCCTCTACTGGACCGATGTGGTTGAAGACAAGATCTATCGGGGAAAGCTGTCGGAAAACGGAGGTAAATTAATGTCTTAGTCCTATGGGAGTGGTTGTTCCTAAGTCAAATAATTAGTTCTTAATAATTTATTATTTAGTCCTGGTTAAATACATCTTACATTTGCATGTTGTTGATTTTGTATACACTACCAGTCAAATGTTTTTGAACAGTAAGATTTTTAATGTTTTTTTAAAGAATTCTCTTCTGCTCACCAAGCCTGCATTTATTTGATCCAAAGTACAGCAAAAACAGTACATTTTAGAAAACAGTTATGTTAAATAGTAAAAATATTTCAATTTAAATATATTTTAAAATGTACTGTATTCCTGTGATTTGATTTCAAAACTGAATTTTTAGCATCATTACTCCAGCCACATGATCCTTCAGAAATCATTCTAATATTCTGATTTGCTGCTCAAAAAACATTATTATCATTAATGAATATAAAAAAAAATTTATAGCGACTCCAAGCTTTTGAATGGTGTAGTGTATAATGTTACAAAAGCTTTTTATTTCAGATACATGCTGAGCTTTGGATCTTTCTATTCATCAAAGAATCCTGAAAAAATGTACTCAACTGTTTTAAATATTTATAATAATAATAATAAATGTTTCTTGAACAGCAAATCAGCATATTAGAATGATTTCTGAAGGATCATGTGACACTGAAGACTGGAGTGATGATGCTGAAAATTTAGCTTTGATCACAGGAATAAATTACATTTTAACATATATTCAAATAGAAAGCAGTTATTTTAAATCGTAAATTTTTTTTTCTTTTGCTGTATTTTGGATCAAATAAATGCAGGCTTGTTGAGCAGAAAGTAGGGCTGTGCAATTAATCGAAAAACAGAACGATTATGAAAATACAACAACGATTATGAAAATACAATAATCAAGATAAAACGATTATTGCTCCCTATTCCGCCCCCTTTCCAGCCATGCGCTTTCGCTCCTCCATAAAAGCCCAATTTCACATGCGAATCAGTATAATCATGGAACGTGACTTTTGCAAAATGGGATGTGCTTGATTTATTGAAGTGTATTAGATGTATTCATGTTTTTACAAGTGCAAAAGAACTTGCGCTTCCTCCGGATGATTTCTGTGGCTGTGCTCAGAGACGGAACACAACACGGACATGTAAAGTCATCTTTTAGCTCAAGGTGCACGCCTAAATGGTCAAATACACACAAAAATGTGTCAATATGCGGCGCTTAGTGATTATTCACAAAACCTTCTTCGGTCATGTAATAAATGAACATAAACAGTTGAGAATGAAAATACGTGTGTAATGGTAAGTTGGATCTGTGCGGCTCTGAAAGTGACAGCGGGCTAAAATATTCCTGCTGCCGAATGTATGCTTAATATTAATCAAACAACAAAAGACAAATTAAAAATCATACACTGCTCTTGAGTGAAGGACTTTTGTAGCTTTAATAAGAAACAAAGAAAGTTTAATTCTTTCTCAGACTATGCCGTTTTATTTTACATTTGATTATTCATTTCTGTTAATGGAATACTTGAGACTTGCATAAAAAACCTTAAAGCACAGTTTGTTTCATTTGTATTTTTTTTATTCTATTGCATTTGTCCTTTGCTTTTTTTATTACTGACTTGGGTTAGGGTTACATTATTTTTAGTTGGAGAACTTTATTAGTAAACTTAATATTGACTTTGAGGAAAAGGGAACTTCAGTCGCATTCTCTTGTTTTAAAGACTTGTGTAAAGTTCTGAGTTGACTTTGTTGTCTAACTGTTTTCCCACATTGTTCTGTTCTTTTCAGCATACCAAGTTAGTCAGTAATTATTACAACTATTTTCGGTTCACAAAACCACAGCGTGCATCTAAGTGAGTCTGTGTGTGATCGTAGCACAGGAATTTGGACGCCTCTGTCTTTACCCATTTGACTCATTCCTAGTTTGCGTGACTACAGCCAGAGTAAAAGTAAAGTGTCGGAAGCCTTATTTGCTTTGAAACATGTGCACACACCTTCCCTCCCTCTTTGAACAGCTCTTTCCAGAGATATGATACACTGTCCAAGTTTTGGATCCCTGCTGTCATCTTTGACAGAGTAAAAATATGACTGACATTGCTGCCAACGCTGAAGTGTTGTTTCTCAACCCCCATCGGAGAGGCTGCGCTGTCTCCAGCCCAACAGAGAGCCATTCTGGACCTTTAATTACTGCTCTGTATGAGAGTCTCTCTCACAGATCAGAGAGCAGCTTGCCTTGATTGGGAATCATTTTTTTCTCTTCCACGTGGCTGTAGCTCAGAGTGGGGGAATATTTATTGCAGCATTGACTTAAATGGCTTTCAGGCTGGAAGCAATCAAATGATTTCTTAGCCAATATATACAGTCTTGAGACCACTGGTAAAAATGCTTCTACCTTATTTTAATACAATTTTTTTCATTATAAAATGTATTATGTATAACATTTTGATTGAAAAGTTGAACTGAGTATTTGGTTTGTTTTCCTTTTGCAGCACTTGAGCTGTATGAACTCCACAAGTCTGTGTGAAACATGATGATCATGTTCTCCAGTATGATTTGAGATTATATAAAGAATATTTTGAGCTTCAATGGAAGTCTGACTGACTGTACGAAGAATCACATGATCAGTGTCACAAATTGTCTTATTTGATTAGTGACCTAAAAATAGTGCAGAATCTCAAATTATTTCTTTAGGGATGCACAATATATCGCCACTGCATTGATTGACTGATATTAGAGGTTTTTTTTATCATTGTTTGTTTTGGTTGATATTCATGATGTAATTGTACATTCTTATTTTTGTTTATTTTTATTACCTTTTGATTTTGAAATGACCTTTCACTCATCTAAGGGACACTTAATATTAATCTTTAAAAACACCAATAATTTAATAATTACAAAATGCACAATTTAGTGACATTGTTAAATATCATCTTTAGCAAATCTCAAAATGAATGCCAGTGTTTGATACTAACGTCATAATGTTGTGATGACTAAATTCATTTGTAGCATGACCTGAACTAATATGTCAAAAACTGTCAGGAAACTTGTTTATGTTTCGTGTTGCATTTGTAAGCTGTGAACACCAGTGTTGTTTTTGTAAACCAAACCTATTAAAAACAATTTTCTTTAACTGAAATAAAATATAAATACTAGATGAAAAACGTTAACTTAAGCTAATATGTGACCCTGGACCACAAAACCAGTCATAAGGGTGAATTTTTTTAAATTGAGATTTATACATCATCTGAATGCTGAATAAATAAGCTTTCCATTGATGTATTGTTAGGATATATATTACATTGATGTATTGTTAGGATATATAGGACAATATTTGACCGAGATACAACTATTTGAAAATCTGGAATCTGAGGGTGCAAAAAATCAAAATATTGAGAAAATCGCCTTTAAATGCAATGCATATTACTAATCAAAAATTAAGTTTTGATATATTTACGGTAGGAAATGTACAAAATATCTTCATGGAACATGATCTTTAATTAATATCCTAATGATTTTTGGCATAAAAGAAAAATCGATAATTTTGACCCATACAATGTACTTTTGGCTATTGCTACAAACATACCCCAGCGACTTATGACTGGTTTTGTGGTCCAGGGTCACATAGCAGAAATTTTGCCTTGGCAACTAAATGAAATACAATAAGTTTAAGTGCCAACATTTCTAAAACTGGATTGAAAAAATTAAAACAAAATATAAATATATTAAATGTATAAAAAAAAATGTAAGTTTTATATAAAAAATACGAAAATAACACTGAACATTTTCTTCCTCCTTTGCAGCTCCCAACCCGTGTGCAGCGAATGATGGGAAAGGGCCGTGCTCTCACCTGTGCCTCATCAACTACAACCAAACCTTTTCCTGTGCCTGTCCACACCTCATGAAACTCAAGGCAGACAAGCACACCTGCTACGGTAGGCTCCTCCTTCCTCAGCCCTAAGATCCAATCAAATGCTTTAATTGTTAGCAAGTTCTGAATGGAATACTGTTTTACTAATTACTGAATACTGCACAATATATTACATTTCCCATGACCTTGTCATTGCAAACAACATATTCTACTGTTTGAGCAACAGGAACAATATAAATTGTACTAAGAAACAATAGGCATTATTCCACAGTATATTGTCACATGACCTCAGTATGTTTTATTTATCAAATGTATTAATGATGGCTGTTTGGTTAAAAATTGCTGCTGATAGTATTTCCATTTGAATCCATCATACTGGTAATGGGAGGTAAACCGCATTGCATTGTGGGATACAGTAATCCACGCAGTAATCTCTGCATGTTTTAGTGAATGTATTTGATCACCCTGGTATTCCACATACAAATGTACTGCAGTAATACTACATTATTTGGAACATAACCAAAAGCTGGAGTTTCAATTTGAGTGAGTAGTAAGCAAAATAGCAAAGCCACAGAGCTCTTGCTGTTTTCTTTTTCTGTCCGCATCTAGCTAAATCCATTAGCATTTTTATTATTACTTCACTTTTAGGTTTATACATTTAAAAACTATTGTGGCAGCTTCAGACTTATGGAATAAAATCATACAAGCATTTAGCAAGAATTGGCTTCTAATGCATACATGTGGTTGTACAATTAGAAAATCCACCAAAACAAAATCATACTGTGGCTGACAATTTTTCAGTTTACTATTATTTTAAATGAAGCAATTCTTATCTCACACACTTCAGGACAGACTATATATATGAATTGCGGCACAGCATGAGGCTTTTCTTTTAGATTCCTTTTGCGTTGGCGCTATAGATGCTCAATGTTAGATTTTTCAGGCCGGGCTGAATGTTAGTAGTCTTGTGTGGGCTGTAAATCTCGTTTAACCGTCAAGAAAACAACAGTGCACCCTGCCGCCCAGATGCACGATCAGTGTTTAGTATTCAGCAGCACAGCCTCCAGTATGGCTGTATGGAGAGCAGAGTGATTGGAGTTAGAGGACCTGTAGTTTCAGTGATGAATTAACACTGACATTAGATAGTGGCAAACGCAGGAGTAGGAGCCACTCTTCCGTTCAGGCTAATCAATATGGAGACTGTAGACTTCACTACTACTGTAGTTCTTTACTAATATATGTATTTACATAGAAAAATACATGACTACAATTTAACAATAGCTTATATTTTGTACAAGATGATTTTGTGCATACAAATATATATATGCTTTGTTTTACATGCACTTTTATAATACTATATCTATTGACAATGTCTTTTGTCCAGAGTACCGTCAGTTCCTGCTGTACGCTCGTCAGATTGAAATCAGAGGGGTGGACATTGATAATCCCTATTACAACTACATCATCTCTTTCACTGTGCCTGACATCGACAATGTTACAGTGGTGGATTATGATGCTCTGGAGGACCGCATCTACTGGTCTGATGTTCGCACTCAGACGATCAAAAGAGCCTTCATCAATGGGACTGGTGTGGAAACGGTGGTATCAGCTGGTGAGATGATGGTTTGAGCTTAAAAATCTATTATTCTAAGTCAACACTGGCCCAAAATGCATAGTAACACTTCAAAATGGACCTTCATTGCTTTATATAGCAACATATTAAACTGAAAAGCATCATCAAATGAATTATGCTATAAAAGTGAATAACTTTTCTTTTTTTACTCACTTTTTTCCCCAAATACTTTTAGCCATCTGATCTTCTGGTCATTTTTAGTGAATGGATAAAGTCAGTTTCCAGTTAACTATGGTTTTTGTCATGGTCCATTATGTTTGATAATCAGACATTTTAAACAGCGTATCTATCTTATCTTTTAAAACCCAATAAAAAATATAATAAAGAATTATTATAAACTACTGAATTATTTTGTAAAGTATTTACATTACTATACAAATGTTTGGGGTTAGTAATATATATATATATATTATAATAAATGTATAACTTTACCCAATATTTCTGTTTCAAGTACATGCTGTTCTTTTTAACTTTCTATTTATCAAATAATCCTGAAAAATGTGAAGTGGAGTAAATGGCTGCTGTAAATTCACGATCACAGGAATAAATTACATTTTCAAATATATTCAAATAGAAAACAGTTGTTTTAAATTGTAATAAAATATTACTTTTTTACTTTATTTTTGATCAAATAAATGCACACGTCTGGGTGGGTGAAAGAAGCTTCTTTCAGAAACATTCTTGCTAAACCCAGACTTGTGAAATATATCTTACTTGAAAATAAATGTCAGATTTTGTTATCAAATACATTGACTTTCATACAGTACGTGTTCACATACTTTTTGTATTAAAGAATGCAAGACAAATACATATTTATTTTTGCTATGTTGTTCTGTTTTTCAGCCTGTGTGATCAGTTTACAATTCTAATCATGATAAAATGTTTTTTTTTTCTTTGCTAGACCTCCATAATGCTCAGGGTCTAGCTGTAGACTGGGTTTCCAGAAACCTCTTCTGGACCAGCTATGATACGAATAAGAAGCAGATCAATGTTGCACACCTAGACGGGTCCTTCAAGAATGCTGTAATCCATGGACTGGACAAGCCTCACTGTTTGGTGCTACATCCTATCCTGGGGTTAGTACAAGTACTCACACATGCACAATTGCTAGTTCAGGCTTAGCATTAGTGCCTTTCTGTCATTTTAGTCTCTTTAGACTCTTTCGCTCTCAGCTTGTTTAGTAGGCCACATTTGGAGAGGAGCAGATGCCGTGCCAGTATGTTTCTGGCGGAGATCGTAAAGGGTGTAGATGAGAAATGTAGACGTTGCTCATTAGTGTGAGCTATAGGCTGGACAATATGGTTGCCCTCATGTTGCACTTCTCAGTGTGTTGCTGTGTGGCCAATGTGAATCAGATGTGTTTAGTGCCAGTGTGCTAGTTTCTAGATGCACCCGTTTCTAATAAAATCAGCAAGCTTGTGGATGCAGACAATATAAGTCATTCAGCTGGTTTTTCATTTGTTCGGTGTGTTTTGCCCTCTACAGTGTTTTTGATAAATTAGTGTTTATTTCTTCTCTCACTGGCAGTACATCACAGTGTTTTGAGGCATTCAGCTGACTGAGATATGAAGACACTTTCCTGGCTTTTATTTTTAAACCAAACCAAAATAAAGCATTACAATCCCTTTTTATGTCCAGAATCTTGAATAACAGAACCTCAACAAATGTGGTGCTCTTTGCAAATAAACAAATATTGGTAACTGAAACGAATAAAATTGTTTTTGCTAATTGAAATAAAGCAGGAATAAAATATAAATATTAGATTTAAAACTTAAACAAAAATGAAAAACTATACTAAACTAAAACTCAAATTAATTAAAGCTATATAGAAATATAAAAAAAACGAATAAGAATTACAAAAAACTAAATTATTAAAACTTATTTTAAAATTAAAATGAGAACATAAAATTAAAGCTAATAAAAATATTAAAAGTTAAAATAAAATAAGTAAATTAAAATATATATATGTAAACTAATAAGAATGACAGAAGTGCATAAAATTATTAAAACACAAACTAAAATTAAAATGAGAACTGAAATTATAAAAGCAAAAGCTAATTCAAAATATGAATAAATACTATAATAGTTATAAATAATTGTAAACATCGTCACAAATAATTTGCAGATATCTTCTTTATGTCAGGACTTAGCTACTGTTGTCTTATTTTTTGCGTATTGTTTACAGGAAGCTCTACTGGCTTGATGGTGACAACATCAGTATGGCCAACATGGACGGCACCAACCACACATTACTGTTCACCAATCAGAAAGGCCCAGTGGGTGAGTGGCCTGTCTTGTGTAACTTTTGTTTGCCTAAAGCTAAAAGAAGGCCTTGTGGAGATGATGTTTTACATGTTGACTTCTTCCCATGGCAGGTCTGTCCATAGACTTTGACATGGAGCAGCTGTACTGGATCAGCTCAGGGAACAGCACCATTAACCGCTGTAAGCTGGATGGTTCCGGACTGGAGATCATCGAGGGTGTTAAAGGAAAACTCACCAAAGCTACAGCCCTCGCTATCATGGGTGAGACAGCACTATCAACCTGTTTCCAATGCAACAGAAACTAAAACTTTGTGATGTAACTCACTGAACTGAAGTTTGTCTAACTTAATTGTGACTTGTGAAGTGTTTCTGTTAAGTATGAATGGTGCGAGACTACAGCTCTTAAAAATTCTTCCACATAACTAGATGACAGTGCTTTCCGAAAAACCATAATTATGATTTTTGTGAACAATGGTCATAGAGTTCACTGCATTGTAAAACCTATTTGAGGTAAGTGACTGACCTCTTATGTTTTATGTGTAGGAGATAAGTTGTGGTGGGCCGATCAGGGCACAGATCAGATCGGTACATGTGACAAGAGCAATGGAGGCAACTGGAAGGTTCTCCGAAATAACACCTCACCCATGATGCATATGAAGATCTACAATGAGACTGTTCATCAACTAGGTGTGTTTTCATATTTATATTGATTACGTAACCTTAAAATGCACGTGACTTTGTCCCCATAAATGAATATGCAGGTGAAAAGGAGAAATTACTCTTTATAAAATTACTAATTTTTAAAAGGAAAATTTATTATTTTAAAAATAAAACTATTAATTTCATTAATTAAATTTTTTTAATTAAATGTATTCATTTTTAAATGATTATTATTTTTATTATTATTATTATTATTGGTGTGTTTATTTTTATTGGTGTTACTTCAACTAAATATTCAATTTAAAGAATACCCAGTTAAATGTTAAAATAGATCACATAATCAAAAAGGAATTTCTGGATTGTCAGATGGCAAGACAGATTAAATAATTGTTATAATAGAGGATAATTCATTTTAATTAGTACTTAAAATATAATGTAATTTATACTGATTAGTGACTTTGTCCCTTTAAATTCATTTGGAGGTAAAAATGAGATATTCTTCTTTATAAATTACAGGTTTAAAAGGAAAATTATTTTGATAATATTTAATTAAGCTAATGATTCATTTAAAAATATAATGAATAACAACAACTATTATTATTATTATTTCATTTCAGTTAAATGTGAAAATAGTTCACATAATCAAAGGGGAATTCCTGGGTTGTCAGATGACAGGACAAATTACATATTAATATTATAATAGGTCTTATTTCGATTAATGCTTAAAATGAACACAACTATAAATAATTCAAAAATAATGCAAACTATTAACCAAAGATGATACCATTTGGATGTGTCTGATATGATGTGTCTACTATAGGTACCAACCTCTGCAGTAAGAACAATGGTGACTGTTCTCAGCTTTGCTTGCCAACTTCACCAACTACAAGAGCCTGCATGTGTACGGCTGGATATAGTCTGAAGAGTGGCCAACAGTCCTGTGAAGGCAAGATCTCATACAAACATCACTAATGTACAACATTTGCTTTCACATGACCACATTGTAACATTGTGTTTATGGCACTTCTGTATAAAGGCATGGGCTCGTTTTTGCTCTACTCTGTGCACGAGGGCATCCGTGGCATCCCTCTGGACCCGTCAGATAAATCTGATGCCCTGGTACCTGTGTCAGGCACCTCTCTTGCTGTGGGCATTGACTTCCATGCTGGTGAGTATGCAAATATCAGTCTGAAAATTGCTCTGAATGCAACTAACTTGAGGTGTTTTGTGCTTCTTTTGCCCTGTAGAGAATGACACCATCTACTGGGTTGACATGGGCCTTAGCACTATTAGCCGAGCCAAGAGAGACCAGACCTGGAGGGAGGACATAGTGACCAATGGCATTGGACGTGTGGAAGGCATCACCGTGGACTGGATTGCAGGTGTGCAAATGTGCAAACACACAAATTAAAAGCGCATTATATATTAATGCATCTAACACATTGTGTTGTTTTATATAAATAGGCAACATCTATTGGACTGATCAAGGCTTTGATGTGATTGAGGTGGCCAGACTCAACGGCTCCTTCCGCTATGTGGTCATCTCTCAGGGTCTGGACAAACCTCGTGCCATTGCTGTACATCCAGAGAAAGGGTGAGGGAATGTGTCTGTGTTTTAAGTGAAGATGGGGAATGTGTGCCTATGAACATGAGAAAACTGTGTATGATCTCATGATCTTAGACTCAAGTATTTGTGTGTACAGGTATCTGTTCTGGACGGAGTGGGGTCAGTATCCGCGTATTGAAAGATCTCGTCTGGACGGTTCTGAAAGAGTAGTTCTTGTCAATGTCAGCATCAGCTGGCCCAATGGCATCTCCATTGATTACAAGGTTTGTACATAAACACACTGTGCCTCTTTTGCAGAACAAGTTTATTTTGGGTTCTGGTACCAGATTTAATTGCTAATCAACTTTTAGAAGATGATTAGTTATTATTATTAAGATTTTAATGCTGTTTTTTAATCTTTCTGTTCATTAAAGAATCTATAAAAATATATCATGTTTTCCACAAAAATATCAAGCAGCTATTTCAACATAGTTTCTTGAGCATCAAATCAACATATTAGAACAATTTCTGATGGATCATGTGACACAGAAGACTGAAGTATTGGCTGCTGAAAATTCAGCTTTGCCATCACGGGAATAAATTACATTTGAAAATATATTGGCGTAAACAGTTATTTTAAACTGTAATAATAATATTTCACAATGGTACTTTTTTAAATGTATTTTTGAACAATTAAAAAAGAAAAATCTTAGCAACCCCAAACTATTGGATGGTAGTGTTTATTTAATTTAATTTGTATTTTAATTACATAAAAATATATTCTAGCAATGAAACCACAACAGTATGGTAAGAGTTATATAACTAATGTTTTACAATGTGTAGGAGAGCCTGCTGTATTGGTGTGATGCACGTACAGACAAAATTGAGCGCATAAATCTGGAGACTGGAGAAAACCGTGAGCTGGTGCTGTCTAGTAACAACATGGACATGTTTGCTGTTTCTGTGTTTGAGGACTACATCTACTGGAGTGACAGGTGCCAACACATTATTCCTTGACTATTGCTTATTATTACCCCTTTTTAACTGACCCCTTTTATTCATATTAATTTATGTTCTCAAAGGTTTTTATATCTTGCTATTGCAGTGGATTTTACAGGTAATGAGCTTTTTATCTTCTCCTGTTTCCAATAGGACGCATGCCAATGGCTCCATCAAGAGAGGAAACAAGGACAACGCCACAGACATGGTGTATCTGAGAACAGGCATTGGTGTACAGCTCAAAGACATTAAAGTCTTCAACCGTGCAAGACAGCAAGGTGTGTATCCTCCTGAAAAGCGCTCTAAAGAACTTTTTTTGACTATATAGCAGGGGTTTCCAATCATAAGGACCCTCCAGGGTTTTAGCCAACCAAGAGACCTTAGTATATAAAAAGTTGGATTTTAACAATAGCAACTGTGTTCATTTTAATATCTTAATATTGTTTGCAGGTACCAACATCTGTAAAGTGAACAATGGTGGTTGTGAACAGCTGTGTCTGTACCGGGGTAATGGCAATCGTACCTGCGCCTGCGCCCACGGCATGCTGGCAGAGGACGGCCACAGCTGCAGGGATTACGATGGCTACCTCCTCTACTCGGAGCGCACGATACTAAAGAGCATTCACCTATCGGATGAAACAAACCTCAATGCTCCCATTAAACCCTTTGAAGACCCAGAGCACATGAAGAACGTCATCGCCCTTACCTTTGACTACAGGGGTGGCGGTGGAAAGGGAGCCAACCGGATCTTCTACAGCGACATTCACTTTGGTAACATTCAGCATATCAGCGATGATGGCTCTGACCGCAAGACCATAGTGGAGAGTAAGTGCCCAATCTTTTCATTAATTTTTTTTATTGCTCTGTTTTGCGCACACCATCTGGATGTGGCTAACAGCAATACTAAGGGCCCTATTTTAACGATCTAAGCGCATGGTCATAACGTGCAATAAACCAATCAGAGTCTCATCTCCCATCCCCTTTAAAAGCCAGTTGCGCTCGCGCCATGGCAGGTTCGCTATTTACATGGCGGAATGTAATTTTTCATTTTTAAAAATGTTTGTGTGCTGCTGCGTGTCCCTGTGTGTGTAATAAGCAAAGTGTACGCGCGTTGTGCACCTGCCTATTGGCGAATATTACTAACGCACTCTTTAAATAACAAAGAAAAAATATTTCACCAGACTTTAGACCAGGTTTGAGTTGGTCTATGGCGCAGTCTATTTTCAGTTCCTCAAAATAGCAACGCGCCAACAATCCGCCTGAACACACCTCTTTTTTAGACCAGCACGCCCATGGGCGCAAATGCATTTGCTATTTAAACAAAGCGGCGCAGTACGGGAAAATAAGAACTGCATCGGGCTGAAATTATCAAAAACACTTGCGCCACATTGCGCCCGGGTGTATGATAGGGCCCCTAAGAGTGAGAAATTATATTGAAACCAAGTACTTGAAATAATAAATGCTATTTTAATTTGGAAAATACAGTCTTTATTCAGCAACAATGCATTTGATCAGAAGTGACAGTAAAGACTTACACTGTTATAAAAGATTTCTATTTCAAATACGTGCTGTTCTTTTGAACTTTCTATTCATCAAAAATCCCTGAAAATAGTTTCATGGTTTCCACAAAAATATTAAGCAGCACAACTGTTTTCAACATTGATATGTTTCTTGAGCAGCAAATCAACATATTAGAATGTTTTCTGAATGATCATGTGACATTGAAAACCTGAAATAATGCTGAAAATTGAGCTTTGCCATCACAGGAATAAATTACATTTTAAAATATTACAATAGAAAACACATTTTCACAATATTTTTACTGTATTTTTGATAAAATAAATGCAGCCTCAGTGTGCATAAGAGACTTGTTTCAAAACCTTCTTTTCAGAAAAATTCTTCCAAATCTTACCAAACCAAAACTTTGGAAAGGGAATATATAGTATATATGTATATTTATGCACATGGTCATTAATCAGAAATATTTGCAATTGGATAATCAGAATCAAGTATTTCAGAGTGATGTGTAATAAATATGTACATAATTACGTACCAAAAACGATTAGTGAACATCTTTTTTTTTTTTTTTTATGTCATTCATTTTAGATGGTTAGACAGATGCCAGTGGAGGCTGAAAATGTTTATCAGCTCCTATAGTAGCATGAAGTAGTAAGAACACAAGTAACATTTAGTAACAATGCAAGCATTGAAAAAAACAATACACCAAAAGCAAAACCCTTCATTCAAAGTTTGTGTTGCTTTTGTTGTAGACAGTTTCTTCCTGATATGCCATATAATGAGTCAGTAAAGAAAGCAATTTCATCAGTGGTTTCAAATATATTAAAAGTCTGACATGGACATTTCTAGTCTCTAAAGTACATTTCTTAACAATATATGATATAGTTTGATGTTCACATAAAGATCTGTTATTACATAATATCATCGAAGTCTTCACAGGTAATTCAGGCTCTATATCTGGCAGAACAAATCAATGTAGTTCAAACACATTACAGCAGAAACACATTAAATGCTTCTGCATGGTCCGGGACTTTATCCTCATGGTTGGGGAGGGGTGTCCAGCTCCACAGGGTTAAAGGGCTCCACTATGGTGCTTCCTGGACACATAACGCACCTGCAACCTTTGCAGCACACCCGTCCCAATGTCAGCAGCTCTCGACGAAATTTGTTTGACATGAAAGCATAGAGTAGCGGATTGGCTACAGCCGAGGAGCTCGCTAACAGCCGGGCGATGATGGCGAAGTTGAGATGATGTGCGTGTATATTGCTATTATTGGTAGCGATGAGCAAGAACATGAGGATGTAGGATGGCAACCAGCAGATGGTGAAGACTAACACCAACAGGATCGACGTCTTGGTCACCTGGTTCTGGTAGCGCTCCAGTTGCGGCGCGGTACCTTGCAGTCGCGTCCTTCGCAGGAAGCTGTAGAGTTTGGTGTACATGACGACGATGATGATCAGAGGGAAAGCAAAGCTGAACAGGAACAGAATGGTACTGTAGACCAACTGGCTGAGGTCTGATAGAAACGCAAAACAGAGGATGGGCGCAGTCCTCAATTGGCGGAAAGCGAACTGAGGTGCTGCAAGAGCCACGGCCGGCACCCACATGAGAATCACAGTAACCCGCAGCCAGCGCCGCATTCTGAAACGATACGTCCAAGTGGAGTGCACCACAATCAGGTAGCGCGTTACCGCTAATGCAGCTAGAGTGAATACGCTCGCCGAGTTACAGGCCACTCCCAGGAAACTGATGACTTTGCATAGGATGCTGCTGAAGGGCCAGTAGCCCAGTGCTATAGCGGCAGTGTGGAAGGGCAGGCAAATGAGCAGCAGTAGATCCGAAGCACTTAAGGCTAAAAGTAACGTATCTGTCCCTTGAAGAGACTGGAGTCCATTTTTCCTCCTCCGTCCGGTCAGGACGTAGATGACCAGCGAGTGTCCCACCAGCCCGATCAGCATGACTATTGCATCCATAGTGGGAGCTAAGACCCGTGTTAGTTCCCAGCTCAGACTCCCATAATCATGGCTAATATTCATACTGAACACACTGAAGAGCAATTTACTGAAGTGTGGAATGGCATACGTTCAAACTCCAGATGAAGATCGCCGTCTGCTTCAGGCTAATAATTAGCCCTTTTGTGAGTTAATAACTTCCTCACATGGCAAAGCATCATTGGGGTGTTTACTCCAAGAGATAAAGGCAGTCTCTGCTGGGGTGGTTGTTAGTGTTTAGCATTAGCATTTAGCAATATATCCTCCTAGGAAGTTGAGAATTCATGTCAACACTTTTTTTTCTGGTACGTAGAGGACATTTAAAAAATAAATAAATATAAATTAATTAATTATAAATAAATAAAATATTATATATACACTTTATAATTAAGTTTGCCACACACAGATTGTGTATGAAAGGTAATACAGCTGGGTCACTGCCCAGTCAGTTATCATTAGGCTTCATAATTTAACATTTAGTAATATAGAACAAATCAAGTGAGCTTTTGTAATAACCAATCAAATATCCAGGGACTACAATGCTAATTTCTATCATCAAAATTTTTGAAATCAAATGTTCTTTAAAAAAGTGAATAAATAGTCAGTATATAATATAATATGATATAATATAATACAATATAATATAATAGATTCAAGTAGAATCCAGTATAAGTTGGTATATTATATTATATTATATCATTATGAACCTATTGGATTTGTATGCTGGCAACATTTTTCAGCTTTCGAGTCAGCGTTATTTTAATATTATGTATATACTATTTAGTTGTTATTCATATTTTGAATTAGCTTTTGTTTTTATATTTTCGCTTTTTATTTTATATTCATTTTAGTAAATTTACTTTTTAATTTGACCTTTATTTCAGATTTAGTAATTTTGTACTTCAACTCAACTCAAATTTATTTTATTTCAGTTAGTTGTCAAGGCAACATTTAGCAAAATGAGTAATTTATTTCAGGTGTATTTTAATTAACAGACATTATTTAAATTAACAGAAACAATTTGTATTAATTTTAGTTAATAACAACAAGGTTTCGAATGCAGCCAAAGACTTCCAGCATTACCATAAACATTTGTGTTTCATCATTTGTAATGTGAAAACAGTTCCTTTCACATGTGATCACTATTAAACTTCATCTCGTATTTGAAATTATGGAAGGTGCTTACCTTACGGCCATCCATGATTGCTGTTTGCTTGTATTGATTGAGTGAAACCAGGCAACCCTGCAAAACGTGATTCCCTGCATCTGTCAATGGCCGTTACATTACGAACTGTCGATTCTACTTGAATCTAAGTGCCCAATGCAACTTTCCTCTTATGATCAATTAAATGACTTCAGATTCATTCCAAGTCCTTTAGCTTGGCTGTTCCAGAACTTTGTCCTTCTGCTGCAAGGAAAGCAAGACGACTCTCCTCGGTCTGTCCTAATGTGAGATTTCTCTCGCAGAGGTGGAGAAGTAGTAGGAGGAACGACTAACACCAAACACCATAACGATCCTCCTGACCTCCAAGTTTAAAGTACAATGGGTGGTTGTTCAGGTATCATCATCTAATACATCGATTGTCAGGTTTACTGGCCTTTTCCTAGAACAACGTCTTTTCTGTGATGATGACGTCTCATCTGTTGGCTGTGGCTGTTATGCAAGTATCTTATTCTTCCTTTGGCCTAAAGACTGATGTGTTTTACAGGATCATTATTGGTTTTTAGCAAAAGTAAACAGCTTGGTTGAGTGTCCTTCCTGTTTTATGGTGGAGCAATCACTGTCGTAAAGCAGCCATTGGTGTGATGCAGATAGATGCAGCGAAGCCCCTCATGGGCTCATAAATTTTGTGGAGGGCGACTATTATTCAGTGTGACTAAGACTCATTGGGACTCTTTCAACGGTGCTGACTGAAGCGCATTGCTCCACATTGCTTCTCACCCCAGCGTTGTGTCTGAGACTCTTCCAGCAGTCCTCTCTTTGTGAAAGAACTAGTCACCGTGGTTAAAGAGATTCACCGAGGTAGGGGTCTTGTATGCACAGGCACCCATCCATGAAATGACCGGATGACACTAAGCCACTAAACACACACATGCACCAGCAACAACGGCTATCTCACAGCACGCTGAAACCAACATGCATACGTATCATGGGATTAAACTGTTCACTGGGACAGGATAAGGAGTTTAAAAAGAGATGTTTTGGACTTGCCCTGTGTTAATCATAGAATTGGTTTACTCTATGAAGCTTAGATGACATTAATCCAGTTTGAAGTTGTTGCCATCCTTTCCAAGAAGTTCAGATGCCTCGTTTTTTGTTTCATTTTTAGCTATAGTGTGCAGTAGAGTTAGTTTGTTCAAAATAAATACAGTGTGTCTGAGCACAGAATTATAATGAAGAAAAACAGATTGGATGCAGTAGAGTTGTTCTTGGATCAGAAACAAGCAGTCAGAGCAGGATTCTCTATATACTTCCTCAGTTTAAGACCATTTTTCTTCTTTTCATTTGAACAGGTGTAGGATCAATTGAAGGTTTGGCTTATCACCGGGGTTGGGACACACTTTACTGGACCAGCTACACCACCTCCACCATCACACGGCACACTGTGGACCAGAGTCGCACTGGAGCTTTTGACAGAGACACTGTGGTCACTATGTCCGGGGATGACCACCCCAGAGCCTTTGTTCTGGATGAATGCCAAGAGTATGAACATTGTATATCAAATTTGCCATGATGCAATGCTGTGTTTTGATTATTCTCCTGGGCCTACAATCCCAAGAGTTTGAATCATATTCAGTATGAACTACTACCCTACCAAATACCGAAAACATTTTTGTTTTCACCGCCAAATTTATATATAATTTTTTTTAACAATTTTATTTAAATACCTATATCACAAATCTTAATTTTAGCTTTAACTGCCAAAGTGATGTTCTTATAATTAATGATTATGATAATTAATTCATAATTTTATTATAAAACAAATCCCAAAAATAGGCATTTTTGTGATGCTCACATAATTCATTGTAATAATTGATTTATAATTTTATTTAATCATTTATTTTTTGCAATAATTTATTTTGTTTTATTTATTAAAAAATTTATAATTATTGAATACTTCAATAATCTATTTATTTAATAATATTAAATAAAGATATTTAATAATATTATTAAATTATTCATATTAAATTACTCTGTTGTGTACTTTGGGTTTTTTTTGTTTTTTTTTGCTTTTTTTTTTAATCTTGTGTTGCATTTGTTGTAAGTAGACCTCACATGCCAGTTTCTGTTTTTAAATTCCATTTTGTGTGCTATTTCTTTCAGCTTGATGTTCTGGACTAACTGGAATGAACAGACTCCAAGTATCATGCGAGCGTCTCTTTCTGGAGCGAATGTCCTTGTGATCATCGGCAGTAACATCCGCACCCCGAACGGCCTGGCCATCGACCACCGGGCTGAGAAAATCTATTTCTCAGACGCCACATTTGACAAGATTGAGCGATGCGAGTATGATGGCAGTCGACGCTTCGTGAGTTCCTCTCTATTTATGTCTTACTTTTTCTGTTTGTTCATGGGAAAGGAAGAGTTCTTGACTGTTGCGTGGTAGATCATGACTCTAAAAGCGCAAAGTTCATGAGCTTGATTCTTAGAGTACACACACTACTGACATCTTGTACACCTTGAATTTCTTTGCAAAATGAATGAATGTAAATCGTACCTGTGATTAGGTGGTGCTCAAGAACGAGCCAGTGCATCCTTTCGGTTTGGCGGTGTATGGTGACTATATCTTCTGGACAGACTGGGTGCGCAGAGCTGTGCTCAGAGCTAATAAATACGGCACAGATATGAAAGTCCTACGTGCCGACATTCCTCAACAGCCAATGGGCATCATTGCTGTGGCCAAAGACACCAATAGCTGTAAGTTTTGTACTGAAGACTGACTTATCCATGTGTTATAAGAAAAGAGTTACGGTTTAAATATTTTTTCAGCATGCCAATATTAGAAATAGTATTATTTGCACAAGGTTATTATAGTGTACAGAAGCTAAAACCATAAAATATTGTATTACCTAAATGTTATCTGAAAATAAAATAAGATATATTTGATTTCAGCTAGTTGACAAGGCAACATTTTTCATTTTTAAGGTATTAAAATAACTAAATTTAAACTCAAATAAAATAAAAAATACGTATTTCACAACAAAAACTAATAAAAATGTCAAAATAGTAAAACTTTGAAATGAAAACAGAAAATGAAATTTCTATTACATTTAAATTCTAATTCAAAAAACTATAATAGTATCTCAGTGATACTACAGTAACACTGCTCTGAAATGGCTTAAAAGGGTAAATATTAATCTATTTATTTATTTATATACTTATTCGTTTACACTAGCACACAAAATTGATAAAACTGACACAATTGATTTTTAACTAATTATGAAAATGAATGGAACTGATGATGATTTTACGTATTACCCAGCCCCAAAATTCATTTGAAATTGGTCATTTGTGTCTGTAGGTGAATTTTCTCCATGTCTCATCAATAATGGAGGCTGTCAGGACCTGTGTCTGCTCACGTCAGAAGGACGAGTCAACTGCAGCTGCCGTGGAGAGCGCAAACTACTGGGAGACAACACCTGTGTTGGTGAGAGAGACAAACAGGAAGCTAGTGTCTAAAATATAAGCCTGTCCTGTTCTGAGCATGCTCCATTAGTTTCCTCTGAAAAGTGCAGCATAAAATGAAAGCATATCTCTCTGTCTCCCAGCGGAGAACACAACCTGCAACAGCGTGGATGAGTTTGAATGTGGAAACGGCGACTGTATCGAGTACAGCCTGACTTGTGACAGTCTCGGCCACTGCAAGGACAAGTCTGATGAGAAGCAGTCCTACTGCGGTAAGCATGACACAGCTTCTCGTTCATTGCTTTGTAGTTTTCAGAAGCATTTCCAAATTAGAAAGCTTGATATTTGAAGTTTTACATATTAAAGGGGTCATATGATGCTTTTTTAAAGATCATTATTTTGTGTATTTGGTGTAACAGAATATGTTGACATGCTTTAATGTTCAAAAAACACATTATTTTTCAAATACTGTACATTATTCTAGGTCCTCTATGCCCCGCCTCTCTCAAACGCTTCGTTTTCTACAAAGCCCCCTCCTTGATCTTATCTATGCACAATCAGCTTGTAACACTCTAAAGAGAAAGGAAAACTTGAAATCGCATCATATGACCCCTTTAACTCTCTCTTTTTGTTTTTTTTATTTGTTTGCAGCGAACCGCATGTGTAAGAAGGGCTACCGGCGCTGCATTAACGGACGATGTATCAAACACAGCTCCTGGTGTGACGGCACTGATGACTGTGGAGACGGTTCAGATGAGCTGCCATGCAACAGTAAGCAAGGGGGAGTGTGATTGTCTGAAATAAATGGAGATTAAGGAAAATACAAACCTGAAATATTTTTTTTGAGTGGTTGACTAGAAAAAGTGCAGCTGTAATAGTTCCTCACTGTATCCATCTCTGTTTACTTCAGTGACTCTGTGCAGTGCTGCTGAGTTCCAGTGCAAAGACGGTTCCTGCATCACTAACTCTAGTCGCTGTAATCAGGTGGTGGACTGTGAGGACGCCAGTGATGAGATGAACTGCAGTAAGTATTAATCTGGTCTGGTAACCAAAACAAAAGGTTGCAGGTTTTAACATATTTACATATTCTCTCGAACGGATACAATCTTTCGGTACATTCTCTTTCAGGCCCCACTGACTGCTCCAGTTACTATCTGCTTGGAGTGAAGGGCGAGACCTTTGAGCAATGTGAGTTCACTACACTCTGCTACGCCCCCTCCTGGCGCTGTGATGGCTCCAATGACTGCGGAGACTTCTCAGATGAAAGAAACTGTCCCGGTCAGACTCTTCACACATCAGCATGCACTGACACACCCCCTCATTCTCACAGCAGATATAATATGTGTGATATTGCATAATGAAATTGACCTTTCACTTTCTTTCCCACAGAGAAAAGGAAGCATAATTGTCCGGTGAACTTCTTTGCGTGTCCGAGCGGCCGCTGTATTCCCATGAGCTGGACCTGTGACAAAGAGAACGACTGTGAGAATGGAGCGGATGAGTCTCACTGTGGTTAGTGAACATCTCTCAGACTTTTCACAAGATTCATTTACATTTTTCTGTTCTTTTTTTTTTTTCTTTTAAGATTTTATGGCAAATCAGTTTCAAATTTGTCTTAATACTTCATCTTTGATGTACTTCATGTTTTCAAGGTGCAAATAAAGCAATTGTATTGTGTTATTTTTAATAAAAATTTTCAGGGCCATTTTTGCCTTCACAAGAACACCCTTTCCATTGATTATTATTATTATTGTTATTATTATTATTATTAATGGAACTGATTTTTTGTGGCTTTTTTGTCTTCATGTGAAATTTTTTTAATAGTAATATTATTAACAATAATAATATATATTTTTATATGTATTAATATGCATTTATTTTTAGTTTTATGTTATTTGACACAATTCTGGTTAATTTCTGACCCTGACCACAGTTACACCTAATAATTAAGTTATTATCATATTTAGATTCTTTGACAATAAGTTTGTTTACTCTTGTTTTCTCAGATAAGTTCTGTGCATCAAATCAGTTTGAGTGTGGGAACCATCGCTGTATCTCCAAATCCTGGGTGTGTGACGGCGCTGATGACTGTGGAGACGGCACTGATGAGGACAGCAAATGCAGTGAGTCACATTATAACTTACATCAACAAACAAAGCTCTGACCCTAAATAAAGTGGGTTTATCCTCACTGCAAGTGAACCCATATTTAATGCGTTCTGGGTCGTACTTTTACCTTTGTTCATGGTTTTTGAGGATGTCACGCAATCTGTCCATGTTAGCATCTGTTTAATTTGGCGAGTTGCCAACGGAAGAATTTGCGCCACCGTTGAGTTTGTTTGGATGCACCGCATTTGACGTCAACAGAACAATGGTAGTGTTTTGGCCCTTTTAAAAGCTGTTTAGCTGATCTTACTATGCATGATTATATGGTTGGTTGCATATTATTATTTACATTATGCATTGTTTTATCCTCATATCTGTGACCGTGTAATTTCAAAACAACTGAGAACCTCTATGCTATTTAAAGGGATAGTTCAACCAAAAAATGAAAATTGCCATCATTTGCTTACGTCAAGTTTTTCCAAACCTGTATCAGTTTTTTTTCTTCTGTTGAGCACAAATGAAGATATTTTGAAGAATTTTGGTAACCAAACAGTTGATAGTAGCCATTGGAAAAAATACTATGGAAGTCAGTGGCTACCATCAACTGTTTGCTTACCAACATAAAATTTTTGTCTTTATATTAGCCTTGATGAATCTCAGTGTCAATCTAGTTAAGGCTGGATGATAGAATGTGTAAGTGACACTGAGTTTATGTATCTCTTTCAGAGACAAAGACTTGCAGTCCAGAGGCATTCCAGTGTCCTGGCTCTCACATGTGTATTTCTCAGCGCTGGAAGTGTGACGGGGACAAGGACTGTCCTGATGGTGCAGATGAGGGCATTAAGGCTGGTTGTGGTGAGTTGCAAGAGGAATTACTTATTTTGTGCCATGGAAATCCTTGGAAGAAACTGTTGCAACTATTTCTGCATAGTTTCTTTATTTAATCACTCTCTTTATTTCTTACTATTTTTTTTGCATGTATTTCTTTATTCTCTCTCTCTTTCTCTCTCTCTCTCTCTCTCTCTCTCTCAAGTGTTCAATAAGACCTGTGATGACTCGGAGTTCCAGTGTCAGAATTATCAGTGTATTCCCAAAAACTTCATGTGTGATCATGACATTGACTGCCGCGATGGTTCTGATGAATCGCCCGAGTGTGGTAAGCATGTGGTGTCCATTTTATTGTTGCATCTTTTAGTGTTATTTATTATTATTAGTCACACAGACCCACACAGTGAATCATACTTTAAGTCAGATGTTGTCTTTCCTGTCATAATGTAGAATATCCCACATGCGGACCAAATGATTTCCGCTGTGCTAATGGCCAGTGCCTGAAGCAGAAGAACTGGGAGTGTGATGGAGAGTTTGACTGTAGAGACCAATCAGATGAAGCTCCCAAAAACCCACTTTGCACAGACTCCGGTGAGTATGGTAACCTTAAAGGACAAAGTGAAAAAAAAAAAAAACTCTTCTGAAGGCTGTTGCCACATTATTTACTTTTCTACTGGCTGTAACAAAGATTAAATTAAACATATTTTTAATAAAACAAGTACAATTTAAATATATATTTTTAAAAAATACAACAAAGATACATAACTTTAAGCTATTTTAAATATTTTTTGCCACTCTTCATCATAAATTGTCCATATACCAATACCTTTTCTGTCACTATTTCTCTTTTTACGCCTTTAATCATAATATGATCTTGTCTTTGAATGCAAACGAAATTGAAAAGCGCAGAGTTATATTGCAGTCGTGTGTCTAACAATAAAAACTTTTGGTAATAAACAGGCTCTTGTGGGTTCTTGGAAGTGTGCCAGGTGTGTAATGTAGGGTTTAAAGGAGCTTAATTCTGTTCAATTCACTGCTTCATTAGAGCCACAACTTCCTGTGGCAGTATTAATTCTGGATCGCTGACTGGGTTGGAGTGACTTTATGAATATCTGGTTATGGATGACCTCTTACGGCGTTAATTATACTTTTTAAAATCTATTACACCAAGTACAAAAGTTCCAAAAGAACCACGGTGTTCTTTGAAGTTCTTTGGAGTTCCATGTAAATGCAAATATTATGGTACATAACTATGATATTGTTCCTCTACCATTATATAGTGCTATAATATTACCAATTAACTCATAATACACTGATATTCATTGGACCCAGAACAGAAATGTGATAGGTTGTTGTTTTGTTTTTATCCATAGAGAGGCGCTGTAATGACACTGCCTTCCTGTGCACCAATGGCAAGTGTGTGAACGAGACATTGCTGTGTGACGGTCAGAATGACTGTGGCGACGGCTCTGACGAGAACAACTGCTTCATCAATGAATGTCTCAACAGTAAGCTGAGCGGCTGTTCACAGCTCTGTGAAGATCTCAAGATCGGCTTCAAGGTACGTTTATACTTTTCCTTATTTGCACGTAATACTTATGCAAATTAATTACTTGGATATATAACAGTGAATACATGACATGTCTCTTGCACGGCCCCTGCAGTGCCGCTGTCATCCAGGTTTCCGTCTGAAGCAAGATGGGAAGACGTGTGTGGATGTGGACGAGTGCACCACCACTTACCCCTGTGCCCAGCGTTGCATCAACACGCATGGTAGCTTCCACTGTCTCTGTGTCGAAGGCTTTGTGCCTCGTCCCGACGACCCCACCAGCTGCAAATCAACATCTGGTGAGCCCTCTCCCCTTGTTCTATTATGTTCTAGGTTACTCTTTCTCAAAGTAAAAAGTATACAGTACAGAATGTCATATAAAAATGGCATTGTAAGTTAAAATGTTTAAAGTTGTTGAGTATCTGTTTCAAAGTCTGCTTTACTATAAGAGTGTTGCTTATATTTCAGATGAGGAACCTTTCCTTATCTTTGCCAACCGCTACTACCTGCGAAAACTCAACTTGGATGGATCTAACTACACATTGATTAAACAGGTGAGGTGGCTATCAGCCTAAAGAAGTTATTTGTAGACTATTGTAATTTTCTAATGTTGCTAATTGTCTGTTACTATTTTGTGTGCTGATTTTGTATGTGTTAACAGGGGCTCAATAACGCAGTGGCTCTGGACTATCATTACGCGGAGCAGATGATCTACTGGACTGACGTGACAACACAAGGAAGCATGATCCGTCGCATGAACATCAACGGCAGTAACGTGCAGGTCTGATGATTCCCTCACGTTTAAAAATATAATTCTACCTCTGATAAAATTCATTACCTATACCATCTTGTTCTGATTGGCCATGTTTGATTGGCTGTTGGATAGGTGTTGCACAGAACCTCTCTGAGTAACCCTGATGGTCTGGCTGTGGACTGGGTCGGGGGGAACCTGTACTGGTGTGATAAGGGCCGAGACACAATTGAGGTTTCCAGGCTGAACGGAGCTTACAGAAGTGTGCTGGTTAACAGCGGCCTGCGAGAGCCCAGAGCCGTGGCTCTGGATGTGAGGAATGGGTGAGAGTCTAAAATCATTTCCCTAACAGTTCCTGATTTTACGTCATGTATTATATAAGCTAGTCTGACTATCCCAGTAATTGCTCGTTTATTTTCTAGGGCTGTGAGTCTATTAGAATTGTGATCAAATTCCATGATATTCTGAGTAACTAATCAAATTATTTGAAATTGCATGTCAGTATTTTCCTAGAAAATCCTTCAAAGATAATTTGAGTCAGATGAGTGCATTACAAATTTAGCATTTTTTTACACACACACACACACACAAAAAAAATATATATTTAATTTTATATAAAATATTTAATTTAATTTAGGTAAATTAATGTTCTAAATGTAAATAAAATATTTATAAAATACCCTAGTATTTTCTCTTAAAGGATCTATGTGAATATGTTGTTGTTTTAAATAATTAATTTATACTTGACACGTTATGAGCTTGTTTGACTTTGGTGGTTTATTATTTCCAGGTATCTGTATTGGTCAGACTGGGGTGATGTGCCACATATTGGCCGCATCGGCATGGACGGCACAGATCGCCACATCATCATTCAAGATAAGATCACATGGCCGAACGGCTTGACGCTAGATTTTATTAATGACCGCATCTACTGGGCAGACGCTCGTGAAGACTACATTGCTTTTTCCAGCCTGGATGGATCCAACAGACACATTGGTGAATGCAAACACACACACACACACACACACACACACTGCTTATGAGGTCATTTTTCTTCAGGCAATTAGTTTAGACAAAGGAGTGACCCAGCCTTCATGTCGCCAATAAATGACATCATAGACTGTCTGTATTATGTAATATTACAGTCGATCTATTGTTTTTGAGACTGGTATGTGCAAAAGACAGGCAGTGAGGAGGAGGTTTATTTCCATATGAATTCCTAATATTCAGAAAGCTTACACAAGAACATGCTAGATCTGTCCTAGATTGAAAGGGTTCGACTTTGAAACCTCACAGTTTCTTTGTGCTGCTAAAGTCAGGAGATGCCAGGAAATCAATATTATCTTATAAACATAATGTAATAAGATTCATGCAAACTTCTACAACAGTTAATCAAGCAAGTGGACCTGTTTTTTGGTCTATTGGAAGCCAAATATGGGCAAATATCAAGTTGAAACATCTTGTCTGCCTTTCTTTCTTTTTCTCTCTCTCTCTCTCTCGCTTTCTAAAGTTCTGTAATATAATATACGATCTGTTTTTTATTCATATATATATATATACATAAATATATTTAATATATAAGCAACATATTTTTCTTAAATATATACTTGCATGTGTTTGTATTTATATATACATAATAAATATACACAGTACACATACATATATTATGTAAACAAAAACTTTTATTTTGGATGCGATTAATCGTTTGACAGCACTAATATATATATTCAATTATTTTTAAGATAATATTTAAGAATATTTCAGTTTTATAATTAAAATAAAAAGGTAACTAAACAAAAAATTGTTGGCTTGGCAATTAACTGAAATCTGTTTAATATGAAGTACTAAAATTAGTATTTTCATGTCATGAAAATAGCCTAAAAATATTGGTTAATATGTTTGGTCTGTCACTTATTCTTAATTTATATGAAGTTGTTTTTTTTTTGTTTTTTTGCTAATGTAATCAAGGCCATGAAGATGGGAAGATTGATATTAACCAATGATACTATAAACTGCTTTTCATAATCCATTCAGATCTGAAGGATAAAATACAGTTTCACCCTTATTTCAATATTCTGTTTCTTGCTTTATTAAATATGGGTCTTGTGTTCTCTTCCCCACAGTGCTGAATCAAGACATCCCTCATATCTTTGCCATGACTCTATTTGAGGAGTACATCTACTGGACCGACTGGGAGACCAAGTCCATTAACAGAGCTCACAAAACCCTGGGCACCAACAAGACCATGTTGATCAGCACCCTGCACAGACCCATGGACATACACATCTATCATCCCTCCAGACAACCTGAGGGTGAGAAGATGCACACATGCTGTGTATAGAAATGTTCCTGCGGTGTTTGATGTGCTTTCTGAGCTTTCTCCTCTCTGATGCTCTTGTAATTGCAGTGTCAGATCACCCGTGTCAGGTGGATAATGGTGGCTGCAGTAACCTGTGTTTGCTCTCACCTGGAGGAGGCTACAAGTGTGCCTGTCCCACCAACTTCTATCTGGCTGCTGATGGAAAACAGTGCTTGTCCAACTGTACAGCCAGTCAGGTGTGTGTTATTTTGCCACAAATAAGCAAACATTTTCTCGAAATGCAGAATGCCAGCACATTTTACTTGTAATATTCATTTTTCTTAATGGTGGTTCTTATTTGATTCGCATTATAAAGGTACTGAAAGTGCTAACACATTAACAAGTGTTTCAACATTATGTCCGTGTTTATTGTGCTGCCATCAATTTATGATGATTTTAAATAAGAAAAAGAATGTTGTAGTATTTCTTTATTTCTTAACTAAATAGATTAACAACACGTTAGCAGTTCTAATAAATACTTTTAAAATAAAAATAAAAAATTTCTTCATTTACAGTATAGCAGTGTTAACAAAATAAAAACTTAAAAAATGTTTGTTCATTAAAAATAAAACTGAAAAATAGATATTAAATGGAAAAAAAATTAAAACAAAAATTTGAAGTAGGTTACATTTGAAAACATTTAATTTTGAAGTACTAATATTACTAAAACTGGTAATAAAAATGAATAAATATTTATTTGCATTCTAAATATTTATAATATTATAATAGAAGTTTTTAAAAAATTACAAAAACACAACAAAATGACTAAAAATGAAAACTGAAAATAGAAAAAACTTCAACATTTTTATGAACACAATAATATATCAGTAATATTAAAGTAACACTAAAATAACACTGCGATACAGTAATGACATTATTATTCAGAAAAAAATTACAAAAACACAACAAAATGACTAAAAATGAAAACTGAAAATAGAAAAAACTTCAACATTTTTATGAACACTATAATAATATATCAGTAATATTAAAGTAACACTAAAATAACACTGCGATACAGTAATGACATTATTATTCAGATATATATAGTCAGAAGTAAAATGAAAATGTCACCATGCAAAAAAACCTAATTGTCCTAAAAAAGCTTTTTTTTTTTTTCTTGTGATTTTGGCATGTTGACATGTTCTTGTCAGAAACGACGCTAGGCTAATTGTCTGTGCTCTCTCTTCTTTCTCTCTGACTGTAGTTTGTCTGCAAGAATGATAAGTGCATTCCCTTCTGGTGGAAGTGTGATACTGAGGATGACTGTGGAGACCGCTCAGATGAACCTGCCGATTGCCGTAAGTATCAGGGCTTTAACTGTGAGAGACACCATGGACACTCAAACATACATAACATTCTCATACTCTGTTCTTGGGTTTTAGCCGAGTTTAAATGCAGACCAGGCCAGTTCCAGTGTGGCACAGGTCTCTGCACCAACCCGGCTTACATCTGTGATGGAGACAACGACTGCCAGGACAACTCTGATGAAGCCAACTGTGGTATGATGTCCAAGCAATTGTGTAGGACTGAAATAATCATCTTTAGGACATTTGCTTAATGAACACTCATTTTTGTCCTCGTTCAGACATCCACGTTTGCTTGCCCAGTCAGTTTAAGTGCTCGCATCCTAGTCGCTGTATCCCTGGAATCTTGCGTTGTAACGGTCAGAACAACTGCGGCCAGGGAGAAGATGAAAAGGACTGCCGTAAGTCTAGTCCTATATCTCTCATTAATTGAAAAATGGAATGTTTTGATATTTACACTATGTATGAGGCTGTTTTCTGATGAGCTGATTGGCTGAGTGTCGTCGTGTTGTCTTGCAGCTGAGGTGACCTGTGCTCCTAACCAGTTCCAGTGTGCCATCACCAAACGCTGTATACCACGAGTCTGGGTGTGCGATAGAGACTACGACTGCGTGGACGAATCCGACGAACCGGCCAACTGCAGTAAGGAAATAAAAAAACAACAATACATTGACTTTTAAAGCCACTTTTTATCTTAATTTGGTGGTAAATATTGATATTGCCAATGTATTATTTTAACTGCTTTGATTAGACTGCTTTTTTAAATCAGCAAACATATATGTATATATATTTAAGAAATATTTACAAGTTTATATATATATTCATATTTACATATGATGTATATTAAACATATATTATATATATTTCTTAAATCTATACATGTATGTGTGTGTCTTTATATATACGTATAAATATACACAGTACACACACATTATGTAAACACAAACTTATTTTGAATGCAATTAATCGCAATTAATCGATTTAACAGCACTACTTATGTCCGTTAATAGTTTATTTACCTATTTTGTAACTGATTTTATCTTGTTCTTGATACAAAAATAACCTTAGATTATAATATAGCATAAAATAACCAAATAAATCAAATGATTAATCGACTGACAGTCCTAATTAAAGCTGTTTGTGTTTTCTGCAGCTCAGATGAAGTGCGGTGTGGATGAGTTCCGCTGTAAGGACTCGGGCCGCTGTATCCCGTCCCGTTGGACATGTGATGGAGAGGACGATTGTGGAGATGGCTCCGATGAACCCAAAGAGGAGTGTGGTGCGACAGCCTTTATTTTCTCTATTTATACCTTTTATTCATTAAAAAATGTTGATTTGTCGTGGAAGTGAATACAAATGATTCATTTTAATTCTCATTATTTTATTATGTTTAATTTGAAAAAAGTGAATAATTGCATCGTATTTTCTTGAAGTAGATGAGAGAACATGTGAGCCGTACCAATTCCGCTGTAAGAACAACCGCTGCGTGCCGGGCCGCTGGCAGTGTGACTATGACAATGACTGTGGCGATAACTCGGATGAGGAGAAGTGCGGTATGTATCTCAACCGACAATGACTGTAGCGTTCCTGCTTCCTGTTCGCACACCTGAGACTGCATGTACGCCAGTTATAGGAGTGAATCTAGTGGTTTATTATTACTTGTGACCATCACGTATGTCTGTGGGAGGCATTGTGGGTATTTGTCCTATGTCATGGCTCACTCACATTGCTCACTGATGCATCTCACTTCATGTTGTCTCTATTCTTCATTTCACACTGACCCATTGGCTTGACTCAGAGGTAGGTCTCTCCTCCCTCCAAACCACCTACCTATTCCTGGCTCCCTTTCCTCCTCCTCTCTTCTCATCTCCCCATGATTCCATGCGTGTTTATGACAGAAGTGGCCAATTGCAGCTTCTGCTCCCTGGTGGAGAAATTATATAGTTCATTTTCCTCCTCGAAATTAAATAGTGAAGCTTCTAGCAGTGAACATTTCTGTTTATACGCTCAGATCTTGAAACTTGAATAAAGTTTGATTTGGGTTTGTTTTGTTAACTGTGGTTTTGTTGTCTTTAAAATGAAAGTGTTTACAATGATTCTGAACTAATTAGTAGGGTTCCCATGGTCATCATCGTACTGTGTATATTTATTATGTATATATAAATACATATGTGCATGTGTGTGCATTTATATATACATAATAAATATACACAGTACGCACACATATATTATGTAAACAAAAACGTTTATTTTGGATGCGATTAATCACGATTAATCGTTTGACGGCACTAATATATATATATATATAAAAATAATTTATTTTGAAAATTGATCATCATTATGTGGGAACCCTGAATGTGTTGGTAATTTTTCTCACTCTCTAAGCTGACCTATAGACCTTGTCTTGAAATTTGTCCCTTTCTTTCCTCCTGTTTTCCTTGTAGTTGTTATTGTGCTGTCCTTTTTTTTTCTTTTCAATATTAACATTTATGTCTCTCTCTCTCCCTACCAGTGCCACGTCAGTGCTCTGAAAGTGAGTTTGCCTGCACTAACGGCCGTTGTATTGCTGGGAGGTGGAAGTGTGATGGAGATCATGACTGTTCAGATGGATCTGATGAGGTACTGCAGTTCACTGGCCTACTTCACCATCTCATATAAATTGGGTATAGCCAGTCTATAAACTGCAATTATCAAGGGACCATTTATTCCGAGCTTAAATGCAATGTTCCTCCATTTACCCGAACATTTTTATTTCTCATGATTTAAAAAACCTTTTGTAGACAAAAATAAATTCTGCATGTTAATTTCTTTACAAAGGTAAGCATTTCAAAGGAATGGTTCACCCAAAAATGAACATTTGCTGAAAATGTACACACCTTCAGGCCAAGATGTAAATGAGTTTGTTTCTTCATCAGAACAGATTTGGAGAAATTTACACTTTACATCACATTGCTCACCAATAGGGATATGCCGGTATCAAATTTTCATGTTGCGATTAATTTCATGTTGCTTTTATTACGGTATACGGTATTATCACGATATTGAAATTAAGTTTAAAAAAAGTGCTGTCATAATACAGTATAACAGGTTTAATAAGCGAACAGCTGAATTTATATTTAAGACATTTGTAGCTGTTGCTTCCAGCTGAAATATGAGCTAAGAAATATAAATATAGTTTAGGTTTCTTTAGCTGGTTGGTTTTTGTGGTTATTACATACAGTAAGTCCATTTGTGGCACTCAGCACTTTATTGTAATATTACGTATTAAACTCAGTACATATATTATTGTGTCTCTCAGCATGGCTGTGATCTGAAGTGTGAGGAGGATCAATTCCAGTGTAAGAATGGTCACTGTATCCCACTTCGCTGGCACTGTGACGCTGATGCTGACTGCATTGATGGCAGTGATGAAACGAGTTGTGATATTTCTGGTGAGTATGCATGTCTGCTTCTTTCTGAAATGGGCTTATTTATGTGTCAAATGTCCTTTTTAAAATACAATCTCAAGTATCTCACTTTTTTTTTTTTTTTGCTCTCTTTCAGTGGCACGGCACTGCCCCAATGATGAGTTCCAGTGTAATAACACTCTGTGTAAGCCGCTGTCCTGGAAGTGTGATGGGGAGGATGACTGTGGAGATAACTCTGATGAGAACCCTGAGGAATGCAGTAAGAACTCACACACACAGTTGAATTGTAATAAAAAAGATCAGCGTCCCTGACAAATATTTACAATTCATTTGCAATATTTTGTTGGCGATGAATAGAAAAATAACATTAATCCATGGCAAGCTCAAACTGTAAACTTCTTCCTTTCTATAATTCAGGAAACTTCCAGTGCCCACCCACTAGAAGTTTCCGTTGTCGGAATAATCGCGTATGTCTCAGGAGTGGCAAGCGCTGTGATGGTGTGGACAACTGCGGAGACAATTCAGATGAGACCAACTGTGGTGAGTCTTCTGCTCTGACGTGCCTCGATGATTTTATATCAGACTCACTGAGTGTTTTCATGACCTGTGCGACATGGTTCATGTTTATATAGGAGACCACACATCCACATGCGATAAAGACCAGTTCAAGTGCAGCAATGGCAAATGCATCAGTGCCAACCTGCGGTGCAACTTCTTTAATGACTGTGAAGATTACGGATCAGATGAGATTGGCTGCAAGACAGGTAAGATGCTGCCATCTGTATGGAATCCCACATCTACATTTAATAGTTTCTCATAATGCTAGTGTCCATCTTTGTGGATAAAATCCGCTTTGATTTTATAGTTTGATATTTAGAAAGGGCTCTTAAATCCTGATTGAATTGACTTTATGTGTCTGTCTGTGTGTTTGTAGACACCATGCTGAATGACTGTAAGAGTAACAAATCTCTATGTGGAGATGGCGATGAGGCTCACTGCATTTCCAACGGCACAGACACATTCTGCTCCTGCAAACAGGGTTTCCAGAGCGTTGAACACAACACCTGTGAAGGTACTTAGTCTGCCATCTTAAAAAGGCTTACGACTTTCTTTTTATGTCAGTGAAGGTTATCACCACCTGCAAATCAACATTTGATAAATTGTTGTGTTCTCTTTTTAGATAAGAATGAGTGCAAGCAGTTTGGTACGTGTTCTCACATATGCAACAACACCAAAGGCTCCTACAAGTGCAGCTGCAACAAATACTTCACCAGGATTAACAACACATGCAAGGCTGACAGTATGTGCTGATTTTATTCTTTAAATCACTTTGCCTTAAGAGTTGTGCATGCTCTCCAATGGATTCACCTATGGAAAACTTTTTTGTGTGTATCTGCAGGTCAAAACATTAGTAAACAGGTCCTCTACATTGCGGATGATAACGAGATCCGCAGTCTAAATCTTGATATGCGTAAGTGGGTTTATGAGCAGACATTCCAGGGCGATGCCAACGTGCGCATCGATGCCATGGACTTGCACGTCAAGACCAACCGCATTTTCTGGACCAATTGGCACACGTCTGGCATTTCCTGCTTCCAGCTGCCATCTCCATCCTCACCATCAGGTCCTATGTCTAACTCTCACCGCAACACGAGGCAGAGCGAGGGCAGTGTCACCAACCTCGATGTAAGTCAAGACATTCTGTGTTCATTATTAAGCTTCATGCTTTGCAAAACCTTTTCTGAATTTTCCCTGTCTCCTCTTTAGATTCCAGGTTTGAAGATGCCACGTGGAATCGCGGTAGACTGGGTGGCTGGTAACCTCTACTGGACCGATTCGGGACGTGATGTGATCGAGGTTGCTCAGATTTCAGGCCAGCACAGGAAGACGCTGATTTCTGGCATGATTGATGAGCCTTATGCCATTGTAGTGGATCCTCAGAGAGGGTAAGAAAGCATATACTGTACTGTATGTTTTCTTAATTCTACAGTAGAATCGATCGCTTCAAATAGATAATTTTTGTTTCATATATCAGAACCATGTACTGGACTGATTGGGGGAATCATCCAAAGATTGAGACGGCTGCCATGGATGGGACACTCAGACAAACCCTGGTCCATGAGAACATCCAATGGCCTACAGGTCTTACCAGCGTAATGCTGCTTTTAACCATCTGTATCCATGAAATTAGTTCACTGTATTCAAATGAAATCTATGTGTTAATGCATACATCTTCTCTAAAACAGGTCTTGCAGTGGACTACTTCAATGAGCGTCTGTACTGGGCAGATGTCAAGCTCTCTATGATTGGCAGTGTGCGTTTGGATGGCTCTGACCCTGTTGTGGCTGTATCCAACATCAAAAACAGTTCAGTAATGCTATTATGCTCTGGGATTGAAGCTTATCCTTGACTGTATCTGCTAAAATGTATATTTAGCTACAATATAATATACACTACCGTTCAAACGTTTGTTTGTTTTTTAATACTCACAAAGGCTACCATTTATATGGTTAAAGAAACTGTACAAAACAGTAATATTTTAAACATTAATCAGCTTCTCTTAATTTCTTACAGACCTCCTCCACCCCTTCAGCATTGATATCTTTGAGGATTACATTTATGGTGTTACCTACACCAATAACTTTGTCTTCCGGGTTAACAAGTTTGGCAAAGGTCAGGCGGAGAATCTGACCACTGGCATCAACCACGCAACTGACATAGTCCTATATCACCGCTACAAACAGCCTGAGAGTGAGTGTCTGTGTGAAAGTGTTTGTGGTTTGGACACATTTTTTAGGGTCTGACTGCGAATATGAGTGTGTGTTTTTTCTGCTATCTAAAACGTGTTTTTTTTTTTACAGTGACTAACCCATGTGATAGGAAGAAGTGTGAATGGTTGTGTTTACTCAGTCCCAGTGGGCCAGTGTGCACCTGCCCTAATGACCACATCCCTGACAACGGTACCTGTACTGAGGTGCCACCAGCGACCCAGTCCCCCTTCAGTAAGAACCTACTTTCACACTATATCCTAATTCATATTATACCACAGCCAGAACAATGCTGAAGCTACTTATTACACTGAAATATAGGGGGAAAAAAACATTTTACATGGTAAATATTGTGCATGTGCAATTTTTTTAGCTTGATTGAATGCATTTATGATATTTAATAAAATATTTTTTTCTGATACTTCATGAGCATAAATTAATTTCTTAGGCATTTCTCAACATGATTAAATTATAAAACTTAAGATGTTCATTCAGACAGTCATCTTTAACATATTTTTCCTTTAGCTCCTACATGTAATGTTCAGTGCCAGAATGGTGGCAGCTGTTTCCTCAACGCATGGAACCAACCCAAATGTCGCTGCCCCACCAGTTACAGTGGAGAACGCTGTGAAATCAACCAGTGCAGAGACTACTGTCAGAACGGAGGAACCTGCTCCCCGTCACGCACAGGTATACACACTCACAGACACATTGTGCCTTTGTGGCCAGGGTTCTGCACATTTATCTTTATAGCTACATCAGCAACACTTTCTGTTTCGTCTCTTCAGGTGCTCCTACCTGCCGCTGTCAGACTGGCTTCACTGGCCCCAAATGTAACCTGCATGTTTGCAACAACTACTGCCAGAATGGGGGCAACTGCACTGTCAACCAGGGCAACCAGCCAACCTGCCGTTGTCCAAAGGGCTTCTTGGGTGACCAGTGCCAGTACAGTGAGTTTAACTACTTGTCACCTTAAAGAGGGTTCAGTCTTTTCTAAAATCTCCATTTTCTTAATGTTTTTTTATTAGCTGTTTGCATCCAAACAGAAGTCTTACTAATAAATGAAACAAAGTCAAATATGTACTGGGAATCAATCTGTGCAGGTCATTGTGAGGACTTCTGTAAGAATGGAGGTACTTGTATGGAGATGATGAACGGCACTAAACATTGCCAGTGTTCTGAGTCGTACTTTGGTCCGCAATGTGAGCTGAACAAGTGTGAATACTGTGGCACGGGCAAGTGTGAAGTGCTAGGCAACGGGATAACATGCAAGTATGTACCAGCACATTCAACTCACTGGGCTTTTATAGTCGTATAAATATGGATCAGTTGTGTGCTGTTTATGTGGGTGCTATGATAATTTATGTTCTTCTGTGTAGATGCGCTAATGACATCCAGCGGCCTACGTGCTACACCTGTGATGACTTCTGCATTGAGGGCCAGTGTTCTGTAGACCCTCATACTATGCTGCCACAGTGCAGGTAAAGTGGACAGAGCTGTATAAAAGAAATTGCTTTTATGTTCTTGCAAATGTTTTGTTGGCAAAAAGTAAAAAGAAAAAACACCAACAGATAAAATCCACATAAAATGGACAATTAAACTGCAAATAGAATATAGAAAATAGAAAACAAAAATAGGCCTAGTACTGAACCTTGTGGTACCCCAGATAAAAGATAATCTACCTGAATGTCCTGAATTCTGTACTTGAGATAGCTGACAAACTTGTCTATAGCATGATCTTAAAAACCTATAATAACATGATTCTGTATAAGGATTGCCAGTAATGTATAGTGTGTGTTATGTAGGTGTCACACAGGCTGGTCAGGTTTCCGCTGTGAGCTCAATGTCGCCCCTGTTCAAAACTCAGACTCTGGAAGTAAGTGCCAGCATTTGGTTACATCACTCTCAGATTCATATTCAATTTGGTTTGGCAAGGTAAACAAAAAGAAGCTTTGCATTGGCAAAGATTTTTTTTTTTTGTATGCCTGTTGCTATGAAGAAATCTGTGCAATAGTATAATAATGATGCATGTTTCTTCTTTGTGTAGGTACTCCGTCAGTGGTCATCCCAGTGGTGTTACTGCTCTTACTTGCACTGTTAGTGGTTGGTTCCATCTTGTGGTACAAGAAGAGAATGCGTGGGTAAGTACATATAACAATTTCAGTGTGTATAAAGGAACTCAGAGACACTCCAGGGCTATAGCCAAAATTATTTTGTGTATTGATCAGACTTTTTTCCTGACATCTTCTTCATTTTGCTGTAGAGCAGGGATCTTTGACTTTTTCAGTTCGAGGGCCTTAGTTTTGGTGATAGACCTTATATAATAATTACATGATTATATATTATACTATATTTGTTTGACTGAAGGAAATAATTGTACATAATTATTTTGTATAATTGTACATAATTATTTTGTATGATAAGGGTATGATTATATTATAAATTTTTAAATATTTGTTTGGTTAAAGGAAATATTTTACATGTAATTATATAATTGTTTTTTATTATTTTATAATTGTAATTCTACATTGATTTTAATTATCATGTTATAAAATGGATTTTTGTTGAATACATATTAAGGCCGGGATTTAGTCTAAAGTTGGTGAGCCCGATTCAACATGTTGAATTAACGTCGGGGCCGTCAGCGAGAGTGAGAACTCTGATTGGATGTTCAGTTTAGCGAACGAGTCCGTGCCCGCGAATTAAAGCGAAAGTGATGAAAATGAGCAAATAAATAAAGGCAGCACAGACAGAAGGCTGTTCTAATATTACGTGATCTTACCAAAGATATTTTCACAAAAACATGAGCCGCTTAAAATGAAGATAGTTTATCAACATAACTGATATTCAAAATGGTAAGAAAGCACTTTTTTGTTTACGTTTAGTATATCGGCGTATATCTCGTATATCCTTGTTTCGGTTTCTCCTTTTGAATGAGGAATATATACAATTGATAGCTGCTGATATAGACAGTCAGTTCCTCTGACGCAGGCGCAGAGAACGCATGTGTTAGTTTGCAATCGGCTGTAGTCTGTGCAGTGTGTTCAAGCGCAGCTTTGTGGTCCAGACGCTGTCGACGCAAGGTGACAACACCGTCGGCTTTCGTCGCTGCTAGTTCTTTGAAGTCGCCTTGGTATGTCCCGGCCTTAAGCTCATACAATAATTAGCAGACCCACTTCAGTACCCTGTTGAAGACCCCCCTGCTTTAGAGCATTAATTCCTGCACATTCCACTTTAATTTAACACTAAACTCAATTTCCAGCTCTCTCACTTTCTCTCTCTGTGGTTAAACTGCATCTTTCTGTCTCTCAGGTCTGTGAGGCGGGGCAAACCCAGCTCCAGATGTTCGCGGTAACTCTGACTCTATAACAGCAGGGTCCCATTCTAGTCCATCCTCTCCTCTCTTCCTCCCCCATCATCATACTCTACCTCTCTTTCTCCCTGCTTCTCCTGCCTGATCCTGTGCTGTTACTGTGGTATTCCTGTGGTTTTTACCAGTTTCAACACAGGGATCTATTGACGACAGCTAAAATAGATCAACTGGTTGGTGCAAGACGCAGCGCTGGGCTGCGTCCTGTCCCTCTCACTCCTCCTCGCGCCATCGTGTGTCCATTTTATATGTCCGTGAGAGCAGTGTCGCTGTGCTTTAAGTGTTTGGCACCTCATTGACCGTAGTGGACCATGTCTTGTGGATATCCAGCTTTCTCTAAGACCCTGCAGAGTTGCTCACTCTGGCTGGCAGTCTCCACCTGAAAGCACATGGATGGTTCCTCAAAGTGTCATGGCTCCTTGCACTTGTGTTTATATGGCAGGAGAGACCCTGGTGGATGTAGCTGTGTGTCTATGTTTGTGAGTTGCTTGGAGATAGGCTACTTTGTGTGTGTGAGTGTAACTTCCTGTGCCTTGGCTCGGCCTGCAGAGGTGTGTTGCAAAGAAGCTTGGACAAAGATGTAACTGCTTACTGGTGTTTGTGTCCGCAGCGCTAAAGGATTCCAGCACCAGAGGATGACCAACGGAGCCATGAACGTTGAGATCGGGAACCCAGCGTACAAGATTTACGAAGGAGAGCCTGACGATGACGCAGGGGAGCTGCTGGACTCTGAGTTCACTCTGGATCCAGATAAGGTTGACACCTTTATGTTATTCTCCAACCCCCTGGTAGGGGTCTTATGTACTATATTTTTGTCATTTAGATTTTTAGAATATTATTTATTATAATTGTATATTTTAAAGTATATATTTTGTAATTGTTAGTTTCAGCTGAAATGTTCTTTGCGCTGAAATGTTTAATATTAAAGTATAAAATAATTTAATGTTTTGTATAATATATGAATGGTGAATAGAATGAATGCATATACAACAAAATATATGAGGTGAATCCAGTAGTAAATTAACTGTTTTGAAAATAGATATGACCAGGTTGTATATACAAGATGTTGAATTGGACATTCAAGACACACTCATTCATATTTATTGAAAGGGGAGGAGAAACCAGTTTGTGACTTATGTAAGAATCTTTTGAGTGTAAAACGTATTTTAATAGAATGTCCAATTTTAAATGAAATTAGACAATGTTTTTATTCAGAAAATAAATTAAAAGACATTTTTAAAAAGGTATCTCCTGGAAAAAAACAATAGCATTTTGTTATTTGTATGTTTTTGTATAGTGAGTGTGTCTTAAGAAAATGTTATATTACTGTAAATGATATATTGAAATGATACTGTTAATATTGCCATGAATATAGACATTGTTGCTGATGTGGCGTAAAAACATAAATAAATTTATATAATATATGAATTATATAAAATATTTTAATATATTTATAGTTTATAATTATTGTCTAATATCATTAAAATCAAAATGACAATATTACACAATTATATTTTATATCATATATATTTTATGTTAATATTATGTTATATTCAATTATATATAATTTTTTATTGTTATTATTGTATTTAGTTATTATTCTTGATTGATTTATATATATCAGTGTGGGTGTGTGAAAAAATTTATATATTTCAACCAAAACTTTAAATACAATATTTAAATACAATCATAATCGATTGAAATCAAAATAATTTAAATAGTTTTTAAAATATTTTTCTATTTTATAAAATAAATATATGATCATATATTAAACTTTTTAATTATTAGTTTGGTAAAAGAAAATATTTTACATAATTTTAAATAGGGCCTAATATATGATTATATATATTTTATTTAAATATTAGTTTGGTTGGAGACATTATTTAACTTTTATTTCACTTTTGCAGTCTAAACGTTTGTCTTGAATATCCATTTTTCATACTGTATATTAGGGATGCACAGTATTGGATTTTTGCCGATATGCCGATTAGGGTTGTGACGGTGAGGAAATTTTCCCACCGGTTAATCGACGTGTGACAACACCGGTAATACCGGTATCACCGTAGGGGCGGGGCGTTCCCTCTTTTCCTCGCTTTCCTTCGCTTTTAAATAGCTTGTAAAAGCGGCGTGCGCATTTTACTTTCACTTTGAAATAGCGGCAATTCGGAGTAAAGCAATTGTTAATTTTTAGTTTGTTTGAATTTTCCCTCTTTTCCTCGCTTTCCGTCGCTTTTAAATAGGTTAAAAGCGCCGTGCTCAT